TAATTTTGTTTTGTCATATCTTAACATGATCAAATTATTTTCCTATAATATCACTTTTATTTATCCCTTTATATATATAAAAGGTTCAATTGCAATGCCCCGGCTGTGCCTGGCCCTGCCAAGACAATAATTGCCCAACGGTTAGTACCGTATACTTTAAGGTTCCGTCTAACTTTTTCAGTATTGCCAATTCCTACATAATATATATACTGCCATGAAATCGAACTGAAAAATACGAATTGTGGGTGACAGACATGACTGTCAACGATATGATATGAAATTTGCCTTCAAAGTGCAAGTTATCATTTTTCATCAAGGTTATTAGGCTATCATTTTTCAGAGGCACTGAGCAATAATAATTGAGTTCTATTAAGGTTTTTGTTAAGGTGAGCCCTTATATCACAAGTTAAGAAATCAAAGTAAAATAATGTATTATTATTATTTATTTATTTTGGAGTTAACTCAACCCTAATCACCACTTTAAAACGAGTTGACTTCTTTCAGTATTCCCATAAACTTCGACTGTACGTTTAAATCAGCTATGAGACTAATTTGGAGTGCGAGACAAATCAGAGATAAATATATATATGGTTTTAAGTAAGGGTTTTATAAGAGTTATGTTGTAGAAAAATTGATTGTGTAATGTTATAGAGATTCGTTTTGCGTGCCTTAATTTTTTATTTTTTTTTGCTTTAAAAAGTGCGGACCCCACAAAATGTTGTGTGTATAGAAATTTTTTTGGTATCATGTGACATGATAGATGCAAATCCCTTTAAGTAATCAAATTATTATTAAGATGAGACCCTTATTTCCTTTTTAAGTAGTTAAGATGCATAATGAATATTATTTTTCTATTAAGGTTTTTGTTAAGGTGAGCCCTTATTTTCAGCGGTAATAGTATTGCAACAACAACAATAATATATGTGCCAAAAACACAAGGAATGCATGGGGACATAAGAACAAATTGTTCTAGTAAAGGTGATTTGAACAAAAGACAAAGGAAAAGAGACGTTGATAAGCTACAAAAGTACAAAGTATTTTCTTAAAAGAGTTCAACACATTACTCTTAAAAAGTTTAATTTTAGATTTGCCTCTCTAAATGTATGTACAAAATTTTATAAAAACTACATAAAATCTAACAACTCTATATAAGAAAATCTCTCTCTATCTCTCTCTTAAAATTATACATGTATTTATTAAAAAGATCCTAAAAAAGAAATAAGTATCCCAATGATTTATCTACTAAAAGAACAGAAAGAGTAATTGTATAAATACTTATATGGACTTAATTATTTGAGAAGCTTTTGAGATAAAGTCATTGTTTGAAAGCTTTTGTTTTCTTCTTTAACTTTATCTCATATGTGATTGATTCATTTAACAAGGAACTAATGGTGAACATACATATACATTTGTTAAGGGACCCAATGCATTAAATCAATATGCATGTGTGAGCTTTGTCTCCTACTCTCACTTCCCAACAAGCATGCACAACCACGTGCTCACCTCATGTATTACCTTATCTCCTCCAATAACTGCGTAGCTAATTCTTTGACTCTTGATTTGGATCTTTTAAAACCGAGTCTTTTGGTGGTCCTCATGATATGCTTGGTTTCTGTCTTAACTCTTATCATTTTATTCCTTTAGCAAATATTTTTATTTTTAGTATGATTTATGATGTGGATGCTTTTGTTTCACCCCCATTCATTTTATTATGTTTTTAACTCCTTAATAATTAATTGTTCACCACACTCGTACCTTTGCTCTCTCTCAGATAGATTGTGAAGTCGAAAAAAAGAAAATGTTGGCACATGCTTAAGTACGTGCATAGGAATTTGTTGTCTTATGAATTGAAATCTTCTTGTTAGGTTGGTTGGTCTAATTTTGGGTTTGGGTTTATATGTTTAAGAAATATAAACCCTTTTTCTTCTTCTGAAAATTTACATAATAAACATATTCATAGTTGATGAATCGGTGAATTTTATTCAAAAATAAAATAAAATATTAAACATACTCATTAAAGTGATTTTTCTCTTTAAAGTTCCAAACTCAAATGGCTAAATCTTACATATGTACATATATTCCTATGATTTTAGGTCGTCAAGAAGGACTAAAAAAAGAGTCTCAATTTTGTAATTGTTCTCAAAATCTCGTTTCTGTGTGACCTAGCTAGGAAATTTCAACCTTCTTTTTTAACCCCACAAAGTGAAGAATAAGCTTTATGATACACAAAACAGTATAATAAAGTCAGTTAATTTATTACTCAATAGAAGTAAGAAAAAAAAAAGTTCACTTGAAATTTTGTATGAACATAATTTTTGGCCTATGAAATCATTGGGAAAAATAGCTTTCAAGTAAAAATAACTGCCTTATAGACATTCTACTATTAACTTTAAGGGCTTTGGTTTCCTCCAATTGCAAGAAGAAATTTTTTTCCTGCCAAGAAACAGACAAAGTTAAATAATACTAAAGAAAGTGGAAAAGACAATTTATTCGATGACTTGGTCTTGTCGATAGTGATTGCATGAGGCAGTCTTCTTCCTGTAACATAATACTTATTTATCCCTAAGTTTAAAGCTATAAATATAGGGTTAAGAATTTCTTTTCCTACACACAATGAAAATATTTTTAGTACTCCAAGACCATTGAGTACTCATGAGTATATCATTTATTAATTATGGCAAAAAAAAAATAACACTTTTACTCATCTTTATAGTTATTTCCATTCCTATCCCTTATTTTTCCTATTTTGGCAAAATACCGAACATATGGATCCATTGAATTTTTTTTTCTTTCTATTTTCTCTTTTCAATGGGCCCACATATTTATTGTATACAATAAGAAGATATTATTTTTATGTAATATGAGAAATCTTTAAGCCATAAATACAAGTAAATTTTGTATTCAAAATTAAAAATAAAAAGGGGTTATATTGGATCCATGAAAATAGTAGGCCCATACTTTTATTGGTTTGAAGTTGGGTCGATTCAAGTCGAACTTCAGTTTATATTTGAAGACATGTTTTTAGCTAACTAGGATATGAAATTTGGGCTTGGATTGTCCATAGTTAACGAAATCATTGACCCGAAAAGCCTGTTGCTGGTGAACTTTGGGGGGTGTTTGGTACGCGGCATTTGACCGGATTCCCAGGAAACTGAATTTTTCTAAATTTTAAATTTTCGAATATTATGGTAAACTGAATGTAAAAATCATATTTTTGAAAATTGAGATTCCCGGACAAATAAAAATTTCTCCAGTACCAAACCCCCCTTGATGTTTTTGGTAGGTAAACAACGGGAATGGTTAGTGCTGTAAAAATTGTGACTCCAATGTTTGAACACCTAACATGACATATTGACATGGTAATGCACTTTTATTGCCACTGGGTTTGTCATCACCTTTTTTTATCTTTAGTTTGGTCTAATCATGACACATTACTCTTTTTCTTTTTAATGTAAATTTCACATCACTTACATATATAGAAATCGGTCCAATAATTCCTGCACAAAAATAATACGTATTGTGAACATTTATCGCTTCAAAAATAATTATGGAAAAAAATATTTAATGTTATTTTAAATAATTTTGTCTAATGTTCATCGAAATAACGTCATTTTGAAGTTAAAATTTTTAAAAATTAAAATGATAAAGACTATTATAAATCTGCAATAAATTAAAATTACAAACACACAATGATTTTCGCTTCAAAATGACATCGTTTCAGTAAACATTAGACAAAGTTATTTAAAATAATTTTAGAAAAAATGAACCCATTAAAAAAACAATATTATTTTGTATGAAAGTTATCATGATTTATTACCAATCACAATGGAAAAAAAAAATTAAAAAATATAATTGCCAAACCATAACATAATTCTTTCTTTTTTTTTTTTCTCATGAAATCAAATTCGTCGCATTTGACATTTTTTTACAAAAAATTATTAAGATAAACTACAAACGTATTTCTTTATTTCCTAATGTTGAAATCTCTCATATGATGATTTTGTGGTGGATCTCTTTATGTTAGAGATGATCTAATGAGTGTCATCATTGGAGAAGATACAAAGCCATTGAGAAATGTATCGTATTTAATAATAGTAGATCTTGTGGGCAAATTAATTCAAGAATATAAAAGAAATAGACAATCCTCGTTTTATACATTTTTGGTTACACATGTTATTCACCATTAAAAAAGACATACTGAAATGAATTTGCTAGAAATACAGTTCTTTTTCAATTTTAAAGATCCATCATGCACGATTTGATTATGATGGAAAATGAAATGACATAAATTGATGATTTTATTTCAAAGAATGCCTTTCACTATCTTATAGTAATTTAACCGTTGGGGAATATTGTGAATCTGCTTCTCTATTACTACTAATTATAGAAAATAATTTTAGTTAATCCTATTGTTGAATAGAAAAATAATTTTAGTTAATCCTATTGTTGAATTATATTTAAGTATTATCTTTATCCCACACACAAAATTTTATAAGATTTAAATGAATAAAATCTATAATCAAATTGTATTTACTATTTTGGCTCACATAAATGATTGCTTATGCAATACATGGTTGCAATGAAAGTGATGACGCCACCAACCTTTTCGCTCCATCCGCTAACTTTAATAATAGATATCATCAAAGAAATTTATTATCTTCACATGTATTTTAACGTATCCATCCATTTTTTCCACTCTAAATTATAAAAAATTATTATTATTTTTAAAAATGAGCTAATTTCACTGACAAAAAATAAATCGATAGATTTTAAAAGTAAAAATTTATATAATAATAATATCTTTATTATATTATAAAGACTTATTTTCTTATTTCATTATGATTTATATTAAGCATGAGCTAAGCTTATTAATATATATTTTTTTATATATTATATTTTTCTAAATCAATTCAATATATATAATAATGAAATTATAATTATTATTCTCTGGTACAATACAAAGGAGATTTATTTTATTTTTCAGTGTGGGTTGGCCCTGTAGTTGAACTCGGTTCTTCCCAATTAACAAATCCAAATCCAAATCCAAATCGTGGATCAAAGCTGAAACATTTGCATCAATTTTGTTCCCTTAGAAATGGTTATGATCTTGGTTTTGCAGTCCCTGATATCCTTCTGCAGATTCTAGATCTGTGATAGATTGCAGTAATTTGAAGCAAATCTGAGAAGAAGAAGAAGAAGAAGAAGTCATGTATATGGCATATGGGTGGCCTCAGGTGATCCCTCTTGAGCAGGGACTGTGTCCCTCTGCACAGAAGATTGTGTACCTCAAAGTTATCAATCGTTTGTTGCTTGTTGTCTCTCCCACTCACTTTGAACTTTGGAGCTCTTCCCAGGTATATGGATCCGTTCTTAACGTCTGTTTTAGCAATTGTATGTTTTGTTTCTTTTGTAAATTTTTGTTTTTTGTGAAAAAATGGAAATGGGTTTACATGGAGGTGAGTTTTTATAATGTGGGGGTATTGGGAATTTGTGTCTATATTATTCAATTGTGTATAATGTTTATGTTTTGGAGAGAATATGAACTGGGTTTTGATGGAGCTGAATTTCTGTAATGTGGGCATTTGGAGTATGTATTTGAATTCGTTTATACTTTTTTTTTTAAAAAAAATTTAATTTTGGGAAAAAAAGTTGAAATGTGTTTCATGAGGGTGAATTGTTGTAATGTGGGGTATATAGGGAAATATGGTTGGGTAAGAGATAGAGTTTGGGCTTAACAGTGTTTTGGATTTTATGTTGGTTCAGCATAGAGTGAGATTGGGGAAGTACAAGAGAGATTCGGATTCATTGCAGAGGGAAGGAGAAAACTTGCAGGCTGTGTGGAGCCCTGATGCCAAATTGATCGCTATTCTTGTAAGTTTTTCAGTGTGTTGATATATGATTGTTAATGAGATTTATGCAATGAATAACCAACTTTTATGCATCCCATATCTCTGGGTTACCTCTTTAATGTGCTTTGTGAACCGTTTGATTACACATTTTTTGATTAACAGAACAGGTAATTTGTACACATGTTTGATCACCTACTTTTTGGAGTTCAAGATGAAATGTGGGGTATAATCTTTAGAGTCTGCTAGTAAATTGAACAAAACTATCACTTACCTCAGCAAGCTGGCATTTAAATTGTCTGATTGGCAGTGGGCTGTGTTGCAATGAAAGATGCACCTTGCCCCATTTCAGTTAGATTTAGATGTTTTTTCTGGAATCAGATCACCTTGTTGTGTGCAAATTCAGGACAGTTGAAACTTGTTACTTGAATATTTTCTGGCTTTACCGCAATTTTAGTTTGTTCAGATTTATAATTATATCTTATTATTTGTGAGATATTCTACCTTAAATTTCATCTCATGTCTTTATTTTGTTGACACCGCTGATAACCCATTCCTTAAAATTAATGTTTTGCGGTTTAAGTATAAATTTGTTCTCGAATTCTTGTATTTGTTTATTAATCCTGTTTTATTCCTATAAGTGATAAGATGCTGTTTATGTTCCTAATACATCTGTATTTTCTATTTGCAGACATCTTCTTTCTATCTTCACATTTTTAAGGTCCAGCTCTCTGATAAAAGAATACACATTGGTGGGAAGCAACCCTCTGCTTTATGCCTAGCTACTATATCTCTTCTGCTTACTGAGCAAGTTCCTTTTGCAGTAGAGGATTTATCGGTGTAGGTTTCCAGCTAGTATTGATTTATAACTTTCTTCATCTATGGGAATTTATGCAATTGAACTAAATTACTACTGGTATAATTGGAATCTGATAGGAATATACTCATGAAGGTGTACGTAAGGTGGGTAGTAGGAGATTATATTCTACCAATGAGGTGGCATAATTAACTTTTGGAGGGAGAATAGAATATTTTAGGAGGTTAGGCTGAGTATAAGATGGGAATGTGAAGTGTGCGAGGGTACCTGGGATATATTTTGGAATTGGGACCCTTGGGAAAGTGTGAGGCCTCTCGAATTGCTTCACTCATTGTTATGTTCCTTCTGTCATTTCACACTTTTTTTCATGTCATTTGGTTTCCTGTAATTTCCCATCAGTTTTAATTGTTTTATTTTTAATATATATATCAGAAAATCTGGGTTTCCAAGCCAAAATCTCGTGTTCTACTATTTTTAATTGATTTTGGAGTTGGGTTCTTATCAGAATCCTCATAGCGTAATAAGATTTTATCTTTGTAAAATTTATGGTATGAAAAATAAAACATATTTTCCTTTTATGAAACTAGGAAAAAATGTTGATTTCTTTATTATCATTAAAATTGGTTGCACCATGCTACTTACTGCTGTGGTTGCTGATGAGTAGGAAATGCAGAGAGAAGTAGAAGAGTTAGGTATTTTATAAAATAAAAGTAGAAGAAATGTTATATAACCTCTGAAGAATGTGTCCTTCAGAAAAGTCCACATCCATTTGATTATAAGCCAAACTGCCAATGCTCTACGAAGTAACTATAGGTATCTGTCATGTTATGGGTCATTAATTATTGTGGCAATTGAGTGTCTACATGATTTCTTTTAACCCGCAGGCCTTATCTAAATTCTAAAGTCATGTGATATATTGTTCAATTTGTCAAACTATCTTTCCTCTATACTTCCTGAAAAGTGTCAATTTTTTTTGCTTCACTCTGTATATTGTAGTCTAAAATTGAAGCCATTTGTGGTGTGACCTTGATACTTCTCTTTATACAACTGTATTGCCAGGAGCAATATTGTTAGTGATAACAAACATATGCTGCTTGGACTTTCTGATGGAACTTTATACAGTATGTCTTGGAAGGGGGAGGTAATTTAAACATACAGCTTTACATTTTTGAAATTGTATCCCAATTTAACTTATTTTCTATGGTCATTGATATACTGGCAATATTCAACTGAGTATACAGAAATCTTTTTTTATTTTGATATATAACAATATTACTATCATTTTATGATATCCTGAACAGTTCTATGGGGCTTTCCAATTTGATCCACATCCTCCTGCGAGCTTTGATGATTCTCAAATACCACTTCTAGACAATGGTTTTTCTCCTAAAGGTCATCCAAAGGTTCTTAATTCCAATCACATTATTCCTAGAAACTCTGAAATCAACCAGCTGGAGCTTTGTCTTCCATTGAGGTTGCTATTAGTCTTGTATTCTGACGGGCAACTCGTGTCATGTTCCATAAGTAAGAAAGGTTTAAAGCAAGTTGACTGTATTAAAGCAGAAAAGAGGTTGGCTTGTGGTGATGCTGTATGTGCTTCAGTAGCTCTTGAGCAGCAAATTCTAGCTGTGGGTACCAGAAGAGGAACAGTGGAGTTGTATGATTTGGCTGAATCATCATTGCTTATACGTTCAGTCTCTTTGTATGACTGGGGGTAAGTTTTATTTAATATGCATGAAGGGAATTGATATCATAGTGAACACCTTTGTCTTTATTTACTTCTCCAAGCTTGATGCTCAAGTTCTCCAGAAGATTGTGCATAAATACTCTGGTTAAATGTTTTGTGTCACATGTTCCTCTAGCCTAATGCTGTCTCTGTTTCATTTACTTATTTATTTATGTTTTTAAAGGATGTCATCACAATTAACCTTCTTGGGAAAGATCAGCACATTCTAAGTTATTCCATCACTGGTCATCCCGATAAAATTACAGTTCTTTCCTTACTAGTCAATGCATGCAATTTCAGTGTGTCAGAAATATGACTATAGTGATAATTTTCTCATGTATTATCACTTATCAGTATATTAGGACTTGTGTCCAATGAAGTATTTTTATGACTATTTTGCAGATATTCAGTGGAGGACACTGGCCCTGTTAGTTGCATTGCTTGGACACCTGATAATTCTGCTTTTGCAGTTGGGTGGAAGTTAAGGGGGCTTACAGTTTGGTCTGTTTCTGGGTGTCGCTTGATGTCAACAATTAGACAAATAGGTTTAAGTTCTGTATCTTCTCCAATTGCTAAGCCAAACCATGATTGTAAGTACGAACCATTGATGGGTGGTACCTCACTGATGCAGTGGGATGAATATGGATATAGACTTTATGCTATCGAGGTGGGATCTTCTGAGAGAATTCTTTCTTTCTCATTTGGAAAATGCTGTCTTAGTAGAGGTGTTTCAGGCACTACATACATCCAGCAAGTGATTTATGGGGAAGACCGGTTACTCATCGTGCAGTCAGAAGAGACTGAAGAACTTAAAATGCTACATATTAACCTTCCAGTTATGTCTTTGATTGTCAAACTTTGAACATGTAATCTTCGTTGAATGAACTTCCCTTCTAAAGTTTAAAAATTTGTGCAGGTTTCTTATATTTCCCAAAACTGGCCTGTTCAACATGTGGCAGCTAGCCAGGATGGAATGTACTTAGCTGTTGCTGGTCTTCATGGTTTGATATTGTATGATATACGTTTGAAAAGATGGAGAGTATTTGGAGATGTCACCCAGGAGCAAAAGATTCAGTGTAAAGGTTTGTTATGGCTGGGGAAGATTGTCGTTGTCTGCAACTATATTGATTCTTCCAACACGTGAGATACTTTATTTGCTTGTTTTATGTGGTTCATACTTTAAATTTTACTGTTTGTCAAAATTGTCTTTCATAGCCAATTGGTGTCTAGCAATGTACATTGCTGGAAAAGTCTGAATCTAAAGGCTGTTAAGTTTTTATTTTTTTATATATGCGACTTAAAGTCTAGGTCTCATTGAATCCTCAAGAAAACACTGTAGGTCTAATTAAAACTATAGTTTCTGTAACATTTAATTGGAGCATTATGCAACATATGAAACCATTTTGTTCTATACCCAATGGTCTCTTAGGTCTCCTTTTTATCTCAGGTATGAATTGCTCTTTTACCCAAGATATCACCTTGATCAAAGCTCATTGCTCTGTCGAAAACCATTGCTTGCTAAACCAATGGTGATGGATGTGTACCAAGATTATATACTGGTTACATATAGACCATTTGATGTCCACATATTCCATGTGAAATTATTTGGTGAATTGTCTCCTTCAGGAAATCCAGATTTACAGGTAAATGCATACTTTTAAATAGTTTTTCTTCTTTTATTTTCATACTCGTTTGAGATGCTCATTTTTTTTATTTTATCTTTTTTGGTTTTGAAATTTCTCCAATAAAACTTGGTTTGTTATACATTTTTAAGTGATAACATGACAAACAGCTTTCTGCAGTACGAGAACTTTCAATTATGACTGCCAAGAGCCATCCTGCAGCAATGCGATTCATTCCTGATCAACTTCCAAGAGAATCTATATCAAACAATTACATTTCATCTTCATCAGATTCATTAACAAGAGAGCCAGCAAGGTAATGTCCTTGTGAACAGCATATACTCCCTTTCACCAATTTATTTTGCCACTTCTCTAATTAAGATGGTCCAAGGTAAAATGTCACTATCAGTGAAGTCAGAATGCGTTACAACTAAGTATCCCATACAATTATTGTCATACATATGGTTGTCTAAACTAGGTCTGAGTTCCAGGATTTTTGATTGTAGATAAGAATTGATGTGTCCTCCTAAACCTGGTTGTGTTTGTGTCTGTCCTGAAAGCCAAGGTTTTTTCTTTCCTATTAATAATTCATCTTGAAGAAATTTGATTTCCTTACAGTGTTTGTGCCAAGACAAATTTATAGCTATAATACTGGGATGGAAGCGCCTTTTTTTTTTTTCCTCGTGTGTGCGCGTGTGCGCTTGTTTGTGTGTGTTATATACTTGATGTCACATTCCTCATGAAAATGATTTGTTCTAGATGTTTGATATTGAGGGCAAATGGGGAGCTTTCGCTTCTTGATTTGGATGATGGACGGGAGAGAAATCTTACTGATTCAGTTGAACTATTTTGGGTCACCTGTGGCCAGTCTGAGGATAAGGCGAATTTGATTGAGGAAGTTTCATGGTTAGATTATGGTCATCGAGGCATGCAGGTAATTAACTGTTAAGATCTTTCTTATTCCCTGTATTTACATCCTATTATTTTACTAGGTTCGTATGATTTTTGATTCACTCTAGTATAATTCCTTATTTCTTGTCTAATAGTTTTTTACGTGGAAGGTTCATTGTTGCAGGTTTGGTATCCATCTCCATGTGCTAATTCTTTCAAGCAGGAGGATTTCTTGCAGGTCTGGATATAAATAAGCCGAAATGGATATTTATAATCTTGCATGCTGCATTGAACATAATCCAGAACTTTCAAAATTTTCTTTCCTCAACATTACATATTGTAACTCATTCCTTTGCTGCATTTTGTTGATATTGTAATTATAAAGAATCACATTCAACTGTTGGTCCATGTAGTGTGTGTGTGTATACATACTGTTGATTGGCTTCATATTCTATCTGATACTCTAGTCTCTCCAAAGCCCAGCGCTTGGCAAGGCATTTGGCTTGTCCTCTTCTTTTTCTCTTTGTTTCCTTTATTGAACAATTCCTGCATCATCTTAATCTGCTGGAATCATTTAATTTGCTGATTCGGCTAGGCATTTCTGGGATTTGTTAATTTTCTGAATTTAGCCTGAATTAATTTCTAGTTGGATCCGGAGCTTGAGTTTGATCGGGAAGTATACCCTCTGGGACTTCTTCCAAATGCTGGTGTAGTTGTTGGTGTTTCCCAGAGAATGTCATTTTCAGCAAGTGCAGAATTTCCATGTTTTGAGCCATCTCCTCAAGCACAAACAATACTGCACTGTCTGCTCCGTCATCTTCTTCAGGTATTACATTGAGTAAAATTGAAGATGGTTATAATTGCATGAACTCGAAATTCATATTTTAACTTTAGGACATTGTTGGTCTCTTGGTTTCCTTTTGCATTGAATGCCTAAAAAGGAGATCTCATTACAGTGGCATGAGCGCTGTATATGGTCCAATAAATTTAATATATGAGCACACTCGTTGTATTATATGAAAAGAAAAGCAGCCACGGATGTATTTCTCTTAGGTATCTTATGTTTTTCGATGTTATTAACTTGCATAGGAAATTTTTAAATTTGTGTCCGTCGACAAAACTAGTATCTAAGAAATAAGAAAATCGCAATATTTCATTATTGATGTTGATCTTTGAGTAATTGATTTGTGTAGTTATTGATTTTACTTTGAGGCACACCATATTGTTGTCAAGCAATGAGTAGGATGTGGTCTTTTATTGAATTAGTCAAAGTCTTTATTCTTATTTTCCTTAATTAACGTTGCATTGCTTCGAATTTTAAACTATCACATAGGATGTGTGAAATGCATGTCTTGGTTTTCATGCCACATGGAAAATATACATGTCGTTTTTTTGTCTGAATAGGATTACTTATTCTCAGACTATGTGCTCTTCTCTTCTTAATTTTATCTTCTTTTATATGAGAAAGATTAAACAAGATAGACATATTGTTATGTTTTCAGAGAGATTGGGGAGCATGGTAATGTCAGGTTGCAGTTGGGGGTTCTTTTGTTTTGTGTTGTGTTTATTTTATGCTTTTGGTATTGAGGGATGTTCAACCTTGTTCTTTTAAATTATCTTTCATTGCTGGATGAACTCTTGTTCTATAGAAAAAAGGGATATCCTGTGTGATTCATTCCTATTTATTTATATGTCTGCTAGAGGGACAAAATTGAGGAAGCTTTAAGGCTGGCAGAGCTATCAGCAGAGAAGCCTCATTTTTCACACTGTCTAGAGTGGCTTCTTTTTACAGTATTTGAAGCAGATATATCCAGGTACTTTAATTTGGAAATGTTTATAGTTTCAGACTTTCAGTCAAATATTTGAATTTTAACCATTGGTTGTGTTTATGAGGATAGGGTTTAGTGTTTGTCATTTAAAAGGATGGTCATTTTAGATGAATGTAGTGTTTTTTTTTAAATTTTAAATTATAAACTTTTTCCTCCACTCTCTCTCCCCCATAGTTTGTTCCTTTATCTCTCTTAAAAGGATATAAGTGTGTGTCCTTTAAAAGGACACACACTTTTCCCATGAGGATATGTCCCACATGCAACCTTTCTGCTTAATATTATTAGAGGATCTCTAGTACTTGCTGTATAATTTAATCAACTCTTAGCACATAACAAGTATTGGTACGTTTTAATTAAGATTTGGCCACTTATAAATGAACTCTCATCATGAAAAACTGAATTCTCTTCTTTGATATGGCTGAAAATGGGGAATTTCAGCAAAATATTGGGGTAGGTCCTTCATCTATAAAAGGAGTATAAAACAGTGCAGTTAAACGTGCCAAGAGGCATACCTAAGGCACTAAGGCGAGGCGAGGGAAGGGGCTAACGGCCTAACACCTCTTGCTAGATGAGGCATTGCGCCTGCTGTGAACTCACGCTTTAAGGGCACTTTTTTTATTCAATTTTATTTTTTTTCTCTCTTCTATATTTTCCTATCATTAAATGTGTTTCTTTAATTACTGTTCTATTCTTATTACATGGTTTATTTGCTTTGCTGCTGTATTAGTTTCCTGTTTTCTGTTTACTTGTTGCATGCTCTGATTGTCTAATCTAGGATTTTACCTCTTTTTATTAAGAATTTTGATTTTTAGGGCTGCTGCACATCTATTTTGATTATGAACTTCGACTTTATAGCTTGTTATGAGCCTATTAAGCTTTATTAGTTAAAATATATATATTTACTTATGCTAATGCCTTTCATCAATTAGATGTGCGCTTTTTGGCACCTTTAGGACTTTCACCTTTGATTACCTCAGTAAGAAAACATTGTTTTATTCACTGCTTGCCCAAAAAGTAAAATCCAAACACTTTAAAAATTAGCTATTGAAGCCCACATTTATAAGATGTAAAGAACCTTGGGATACACCACCCCAAAAGCTAGCTCAAAGGGTGGGAGTGCCCAAGGCCTTATAAACTTCACATTAGTTGCACATACAACCATTGTGGGACTATCTCAACACGTCCCCTCACACAAGAGCCCATTGGGCTTGAAGAGTGGACAATGCAACAGGCCCAGCCTACCTGTGCTAAGAAACGCCACAAGAGAAAGTGGGGGACGGCGAGGCTCTGATACCATGTAAAGAACCTTGAGGTCACCACCCCAAAAGCTAGCTCAAAGGGTGGAAGTGCCCAAGGCCTTATAAGCTCCACATTAGTTGCTCATATAATCAATGTGGGACTATATATCTCAACATAAGATCACTAGGACCTCTCCTGTCATTCCTATGATCTGAAACACGATACAACTTTGATGCTAAGGCAATCTGGTAGTTTGCTGTATTTTCTTTGCTTTTTCCTTTGATTGAGCACGAATGCAGTAATTTCTTGGTGCCTAACTTTGTTGCCAATTGGATTTTGTCCTAGTGTTTAATTTTCATGCCAATTACTCCAGGCCAAATGTAAACAAGAACCAGGTCTCAGTTCTTAAACATGCTAAAAGAACTCTTTTGGAGAAGACCTGTGATTTGATCAGAAATTTTCCAGAGTACCTAGATGTTGTTGTAAGCGTCGCAAGAAAAACTGATGGTCGTCATTGGGCAGATTTATTCTCTGCTGCTGGAAGATCAACAGAGTATGTCTTTCAAGCATCTATGCTTTTCATTTTGATTTCAACTTTCATCAATGTAAAAAACCAATTCAATCCAAAAGCTTAAGCTGTTGGGTGGGGCTACATTAACGGTTTTATATTTCTCTAACACGCCTCCTTACACGAAAGCCCACTGGGGTTGAAGGGTGGATGATGCATCAGGCTCAGCCTATCTGTGCTAAGAAACTCCACAATATTTAATTATTTTTATTAATAGAATGGAGTCAGTGAGGATCGAACTCATGACCACTTAGTTATGTCGGCTCTGATACTATTTAAAGAACCAATTCAACCTAAAAGTTTAAGTTGTTGAGTGAGGCTACATTAATGGTTTTATATTTCTCTAACAATCAATATGTGAAATGTGCGTCTTTCAAAAAAAGGAATCATGTAGAGCAAAAAGAAAATACAATACTTGACATGACATACATTTGGAGAGTTATTAAGTTGGAGAAATCCTTATAGGGTGAACTTGGTAATATATTCTATTTGGTGCTAGATACTGTTTTTGTATGGCTTGTCAAGAATATAACTTTCTAGCATCTCAGTTATCAAATTTCTACCTTTGTATTATTAAATGCTTCATTTTTTTATTCTCCCGCATGTTAATGTAATTAGGAAGCTCATTTGGCGGCGTGAATGGATTGGATAGAAAAGAAATGTAAAACTTTTTTCTTGCATGAAACAGGACCATAAGAGGAATTCGATATTGTAATATCCATTAGAACTATCATGTTTGTGAAAAAAATTTCATAGTGCTGCTTCAAGTGAACCAAGGAAAACTGAAGTTATTGAAAAAGACAATATGATATTCATTTGTGAAATCACATTGTTATTTTTATACTTTAAGACTTATACTGAAAAAAAGAAAGAAGAGAATCGTACAAAATTTAGTATTTTTACATGTATCTAATATATGATAAGTAGTTCTACCTTTTACAGTGAAAATGGTCACTAAGCTGTTTCTTCACTGCAAAGTCATCTGAATTTTGTTGCCTATTTGGCTTGCTAGTGCAAATTATAATGCTTATTTCACTGCTATATTTTAGATGTGCAAATATTCTTTTTTTATTTCTTTTTGGGGTTTCTGTATAGATTGTTTGAGGAATGCTTTCAGCGTAGATGGTATCGCACTGCAGCTTGCTATATACTTGTAAGAATAACTTGCACTTTTCAATCGGTCTCTTTATATGTAGAAACATTATCACTCTATCATTTCTTGCTTTCTTGTATTTCTTTTCTGTATCTTTTATCAGTCTCCCCCTATAAATAAGAATTGTTTGATTCAATTTTAAATCATTATTAGCATGTTTTATATTCATTCTGAGGTTTCTATTTTATGATTTGAGTGTTGCATTGCATAATTGGCGATAATTCAAAAGTTTATTTGGTTTTAAGTTTTCTCTCTGGTTTGACAAAATTCCTGTTGTGTTTAATCCACACATGTTGCACTTTGTTACTTTCAAAAAGAACAGATTATCTCTTTTCTGGTTTGATTGTTATATTATATATGCTTTAGGATTGCTGAACGATATTTTATGGTTTCCCTAGTTTCTGCATTCAAACTGGTCATGAAATTCTATATATATATATACACACACACACACACACTATCATGTGATCAAGTTCATTTCATCTGAAATATAACAGGTGATTGCTAAACTTGAAGGCCCTGCTGTAAGTCAGTACTGTGCTTTGCGGTTATTGCAGGTTTGGGCTTGATTGCTTAAGTCATTTTATTTTATTTTTTCAAAACTTAAGTCACATCAATGATGTGAGTTATCAAACTTATGCAGGCAACACTTGATGAATCTTTGTATGAGCTTGCTGGGGAGCTGGTATTGTTTTGAAACTCCACGAGATTATATATCTTATACAAGAGGTTGTGACCTTTTCCTTTTTCTTAACTATTTTGTTTTGGGTTCTCAGGTGAGGTTCTTGCTAAGATCTGGTAGAGAATATGACCAAGCATCAACCGATTCAGATAAACTTTCTCCCAGATTTTTGGGCTATTTCCTTTTTCGTTCTAGTGAGCAGAAGCAGTCATTGGATAAAAGGTTCATATACATTTTAGTGAATTGTTTTTTCTGTTGTCCTAGCATCAAAGTTACCAACCATGCTAAGTAATTTTCTTTGGAGCAGCACCTCATTCAAGGAACAAAGTGCTCATGTTGCCTCGGTTAAGAATATTTTAGAAAACCATGCTAGTTACCTGATGTCAGGGAAAGAGCTCTCCAAGCTTGTTGCATTTGTGAAAGGCACTCAGTTTGACTTAGTGGTAAGAAGATCTTACTGATTGACTTGTTCTAATCCCCTTAAGATAATTTTCTTTCAGTTTAAAAGTGTTTAAATTGTTCAGTGACAATCAATTGCAGGAGTATCTACAACGAGAAAGATACGGGAGTGCTCGGCTGGAGAATTTTGCTTCAGGACTTGAACTACTAAGCCAAAAGGTTTAAGATTTTAACATTTGGAAAACAAAACTTCCTCGATGACCGTACTATGTACTTCATTTCATTGGTTTAACTTTTAAATTTCGGTGGCCTAATATTGCTTTCTCTCTTTGCAAGCTTTCTTTCTACAGGAGTTGTTAGTTGATGCATATATAATGTCTGATACTGTAGTGTAGATTTGCTTCGTGTTTTATGTGTTCCAGCCTTAGTTTTATACTCTCTGGTGATACTACAAACTTGTTCTGTGGCCTAGTATATTGGTACTCATTTTGGTTATTTAGGTATGAATTTATTAGGTAGTTTTGCTGCTATAACCAAATAAATGCGATCAGTTATGCTCTAAAAGGTCTCATGATATTGGAGGATACCTTATCCTCCTGTCATTGTGTACTTTCCTTCTCTTATCTCTTTGATAAAATTTATTTTTCTATCTCATGGCATCGAAATAAACCTTGAATCTTGATTTAGATATTAGAAGGGGTAACAATAATACTTCACTGCTGAAGCCGATTTTCAATAATGCAATGATGCAAAGTCTTTGATCATTTGGCAGAAGCATGTCTAGATTTATTCTTTAGCTTTTTTTCCTCGCCCCATTAATGAACACTATTTTTTGTTATCAGCTTCAAATGGGAACATTACAGAGCCGGTTGGATGCTGACTTTCTCCTGGCTCATATGTGCTCGGTCAAGTTTAAGGAATGGATAGTTGTCCTGGCTACTCTCTTAAGACGTTCCGAGGTACTTAAGTTTGGGTTCATTGTGTACTGGATAGTTGTTCTCCCATTTTGGAAAGGGTTCACTTTGTTGACAAGTGTATTCTTCTGGTGAGATTTTGTAGGTTCTTTTTGACTTATTCCGTCATGATGATCGGTTGTGGAAAGCTTACTGCACCACCCTGCAGGTATAGCTATTTTAATTTTCCTGATGTAAGTTATGGTCATGGCAGTATGTATACTTAAATGAAATAAAACATGTGGTTCTTGCCTGTTTTCTATGCACTACAGTCACACCCGGCATTTACTGAATATCAAGATTTGCTGGAGGACCTGGAACAGAAACTTTCATCGGTTGCAAATGTGGAAGAAAATTAAAAGTGAGTATAGATTTCACATCTGGACTGTGTGGAAGTAATCTACTTGGGTAGGTTTCACCTCTCTGCCCACATGACATTATGATGGATCATGTCACACGTAAGGACCATGCATCCTTTCCCTTGGATTTGATTGTGGGAACCAGAAAACTACATTTATGTGCTGGTTTACCATGATCTTGTGGTAACAAATTTATTATTCTATGGTGCTAATCCAATGAATCCCGAATAGTACTTGTAGATAGAGGTTAGAAATATCTTTAGGGAGGCTTGTGCATGTCTGAGGATTCATTATTCTTTTCACTTTTTAATCCACATTTTGTAATATGTGTTTTTGTAAAAAAGCATCAACAGATCCATCTGTGTATATATTAGTTATATGCTCTTGATCAGCTCAACATTCATAGTGGAATTTATGCACTTGTTTTTTCTCCCTTAATTGAGCATATCTAGATTTGTTCCTGTTTCGCGTTCACTGTTTCTTAAGATGTGCTTAAGCTCAATCCATTTTGAATTGACATGTTTTTCTTTTATACATTTTATTATTTCATGCTAGCATGGCTTAGTAATCTAAAGATTCTTTTGCTTTAGCATAGTCCTGTTATAATCAGCAAAACATGGTCCTATTGTAAATAAGAAAGTAAGAAGTGACCATGATTACCCTTTTTTCGTGTATTTCTTAATTCTTCGAATTGATATTATTGCTTGCTTCGGTTAAAGGATGCAAAATCCATCACCATCTTCTTGCACTGTTTTCTTCTCTGTCAAAAAAAAAAAAAAAAAACAAAGACCGAAAGTAATGAAACTCATTTTTTTGTCTTAGGAACCCACAACTATTGTCTGTTTTTTTTGTCAAAGGGGAATTAATTTAGCATACACCTTCCATTATTTTCTTGTGTTTAGTAACTACAGAAAAACTATGTTTGATAGTCCATAAACTCGTTTTCTTTCCACATTGATGAACATAATTTTTGTATAAACTTCATTTCTTTAAATGCAATTAGCTTTAAAATTTATATTAAAAATAAGCCATGCAATGCTGCGAATGCATGAGTTATATAGACTAATTTTTAATAAAAAAAAGTTGCATAAATAAAGCATCAAACTTTTATGTGTCACTTTTTCCTTCCTTGGGTTCGGATTCTATCCCTTTCATCCTTTCTTTTATTTGATAAATCTCTCACCTTTACTTTCCAAAATTCTTCGAAGGCGAATCTATTAGAAAACATAGAAACAGAATGGACAAGGTTACGTATAACGTTAATGATGAACTTCGTAAACCATTTTTTATGAAGTTCCATTTTTTCCTTATCAATTTTATTTTTATACACATAAAATATAATACTTATTACTAATAGATTATTAACTACTGATTAATAACGTTTAAATTTTAATTAATGTTACTTTTTTGGTTAAAAAATACATTGTTCTTAGTTCATTAATTATCCGATATATATATATATATATATATATATATATATATATATATATATATATATATTGTTCTTTTGACTTGCGTACTATCCATTTGCTTTTTATTTTATTTTATTTTATAAATCTCCCACGTTTTACGTTCGAAGTTTCTCCGAAAATGAGTCAACTTGAAGCAGGGAAAAAAGAAAAGAAAAAGAAAAATGTGTGGAGTCGATATATATATTAAAATTTATAATAATTTTTATAAATTCTTTTTATAATAAGAAAAAAGAATTTAACATTTTTCATGTTATATGAAATAAATTTATTTATCTTATACACAAACACAAAAGTATACGGAGCCTATATTTTTTTTTCTTTTTTTTTTTTCTGTTTTCCACGTAAGCTCCTCACACTTTTTTATATATTTGTAAGATATAAACTTGGGCAATATTACTCTTATGCAATAGGAATTTTTTTTTATCTTATGTCCATACATCCATATTTGTGTCAATTATTTTTTATTTTTTTTATTTTTCTTTCTACTGGGCCCCACTTTAAATTGAGTGTGTAGGAGATAACAAAATTTTTATGTGACATGAGACTACAATTACCCTATAAACTTATATGTTAAACATTAAAGCCAATGAAAAAACGAAAGTAACTAAAGTAGTGATTGAAAGTAGCTTCCACTCTCCTTCCATCCATGAAGACTACAGTTGTATTCACACTAACATAAATGCTTCTCTTTTTCAACTTCTCTACCAAACTAGCTTCCACACTCTTCCTTGCAAACACAATACCATGTATTCACAGTTAGCTTAGTCTTCCTTATTATGTCTTCACCTTTTACTGTCCAACCATAATCCTACAAAAAGCATAGAACAGGTAGCATCAGAAATCCAAGATCACCCCAAAACACAAGCTGATATAGATCACACCAATCCAAGATCACCATGGAAGGAGCCTCTTCTTCCTCTCCTTCTTCTGGAGCATGTACCTACCATGTGTTCTTGAGTTTTAGGGGAGAAGACACACGTAAAGGGTTCACTGACCATCTCTGTGCTTCACTTGAAAGAAAAGGGATCACAACTTTCAGGGATGACAAAGACCTTGAGAGAGGACAAGTCATTTCACAAGAGCTCCTCAAAGCAATAGAAGAATCCATGTTTGCAATCACCATTCTTTCACCAAACTATGCTTCCTCAACTTGGTGTTTGGATGAGCTCCAAAAGATTGTTGAGTGTAACAACAACAAAAACCTCAGGCTAGCAATCATGCCAGTCTTCTATGGCGTGGACCCTTCTGATGTGAGGCACCAAAGAGGAAGCTATGAGGAAGCTTTCAAAAAACATGAAGAGAATTTCCAACAAGACAGAGAGAAGGTTCAAAGATGGAGAGATGCGTTAAGACATGCTGCGAGTCATTCTGGTTGGGACTCCAAGGATCGGTAAGTTGTCTCACCATTAGGTTTATTATTTTTTACTCATAATCTGAATGTTGAATTTGAAGAGTAGTCTTAGCAGAATGGTTGGTTTTTGTTACCATCTGGCCAAAAGGTCATAATCATGTCTTAGAGATATTAATATAAACCTTTAATGTGGACATCACTCACCAAATTAAGCTTTTGGTTGAAAAGGTTTTTTTGCTGTGGAGTTTGTTAACATAGGTAGCTGGATCTATTTATTGTCCACTTTTCAAATCTAACGAGCTCTTGCGTGAGGGGACGTATTAGATATATAAATTTAAACCATTAATGTGGATATCACTTACCAACTTGAACTTTTGGATTGAAATTGTTCTTTACACCTGTTATAGACCTATAGTCTAACTCTTTCTTAAACCTTGTGCGTAGCGAGAGAGTATTATAGCATGAGATTACAAAATCATTTTCAAAGTTTCATTTAATAGCCTTAATTTTTGAGTTGAGTTAGTACTTCATACTGTCAAGGTTTGTGTTTCAGATTTTACCTTGGATTTGCAAAATACGAAATAATAACTTGGTGTTTTCGGTTTGTTGCTTTATTTTCTTATGGTTCTTTGTTGGATTCAATACAAGTTTTTCTCTTTACTTCTGTCTATGCAGGCATGAGGCAGCACTTGTTGAAAGCATTACTGAGCTTGTACATAAAAAGCTGATTCCAAAATTGCCATCTTGTACGGAGAACCTTGTTGGGATTGCTTCAAGGGTGGAGGAAGTGAATAGGCTCATAGGAATGGGGTTGAGTGATGTTCGCTTTATAGGCATATGGGGCATGGGTGGCATAGGAAAGACAACTATTGCTAGAGCAGTCTATGAAGCATTAGCAATCAATGGCAAGTTTGAAGCTACTTGCTTTCTTGGTAATGTTAGAGAGGTATCTGAGACAAATGGTTTAGTTCACATACAAAGAGAACTTCTTTGTCGTCTAAATATAAGTAGCAGTTCTTGTTATGATTTATGTGATGGGAAAAAGACAATACAAAACTCTTTATGTAGAAAAAAGGTTCTGCTTGTTCTTGATGATGTAAATGAAGTAAACCAATTGGAGAATTTGGCTGGGAAGCAAGATTGGTTTGGTCAGGGAAGCCGAGTAATAATCACAACTAGAGATATGCACTTGCTAGTGACACATGGAGTGCATAAAACTTATAAGGTTGGAAGGTTGTGCCAAAATGAAGCCCTTCATCTATTTTGTTTGAAGGCCTTTAAACGTGATCAACCACAAGAAGGGTATTTGGATTTGTCCAATGAAGTGGTGGATTATACTGGTGATCTTCCATTGGCACTTGAGGTGTTGGGTTCCTATCTCTATGGAAGAACTGTTGATGTTTGGCATAGTGCTGTGAAAAAATTAAGAAGCGTTCCACACCCCAAAATTCAAGATACGCTGAAAATAAGTTATGATGGTTTAGATTCCATGGAGAAGAATATTTTTCTTGATATAGCCTGTTTCTTCAAGGGAATGAAGAGAGATGAATTAATAGATATATTGGAAAATTGTGATTATTGTCCTCAAATTGGAATTGAAATTTTGATTGAAAGATCTTTGGTAAGTCTAGATCCGGGGAATAATGAATTGAGGATGCATGATTTGCTCCGAGAAATGGGCAGGAATATTGTATTTCAAGAATCTCCAAATGATCCTGGCAGACGTAGCAGGTTGTGGTTTCAAGAGGACATTGATCATGTGTTAGCAAAAAATAAGGTACATGCCTATTTTTCTGCCACTATTGGATGTGTTGAGAAATATAGTTCCACATTGGTTGTATGTGCAACTAATGTGGAGTTTATAAGGCCTTGGGCACTCCCATCCTTTGAGCTAGTTTTTGGGGTGGTGACCTCAAGGTTCTTTACATGGTATCAGAGCCTCGCCGCCCCCCACTTTCTCTTGTGGCGTTTCTTAGCACAGGTAGGCTGGGCCTGTTGCATTGTCCACTCTTCAAGCCCAATGGGCTCTTGTGTGAGGGGGCGTGTTGAGATATATAGTCCTACATTGGTTGTATGAGCAACTAATGTGGAGTTTATAAGGCCTTGAGCACTCCCACCCTTTGAGCTAGCTTTTGGGGTGGTGATCTCAAGGTTCTTAACATGGTATCAGAGCGTTCGAAATCTCACCGCCTCCCATTTTCTTTGTAGTGGAATTTCCACATGTAGGTGGGCTTGTATGTTGTTCACCCTTCAAGCCCAGTGGGCTCTTGTGTGAGGGGGCGTGTTGAGAAATATAGTCCCACATTGGTCGTATGTGCAACTAATGTGGAGTTTATAAGACCTTGGGCACTCCCACCCTTTGAGCTAGCTTTTGGGGTGGTGATCTCAAGGTTCTTAACAGGATGATTGATGTTAGATAAAATAAACATGGTACTAACATACAAACAAGGCAATGCATTCAATATTTTGTGTTTTATTTGTTCTGTAAGATAACATTATTTGTCATTCTGGTTTTGTAGGGAACTGAAGCAATTCATGGTATAGTTCTGAACTTACCTCAACCATATGAAGCACGCTGGAATACTGAAGCCTTCTCAAAGACAAGTCAGCTAAAATTTCTCAGCTTATGTGAGATGCAACTTCCCCTTGGACTAAGCTTCCTTCCTAGTTCAGTAAAAGTTCTTCATTGGAGAGGATGCCCTTTGAAAACTCTGCCACTAAGAAATCAATTGGATGAAGTTGTTGACATTAAATTGTCTCATAGTGAAATTGAACAACTTTGGCAAGGAATTAAGGTAGGACCCTCTCATCAAGAGCTATATTAAATTTTGTCACAATGACATTCAAAGCTGATCATTTTTTCTCATTTTTTACAATTTTGAGCAGTTTATGGAAAAGCTGAAGTACCTGAATTTGACTTTTTCCAAGAACCTAAAGCGATTGCCTGATTTTTCTGGGGTCCCAAATCTTGAAACACTGGTTCTTAAAGGCTGTGAAAGCCTAACTGAAGTTCATCCATCCCTTGTACAGCACAACAAAGTTGTTCTAATGAATTTTGAAGATTGCAAGAGTCTTAGAGCTCTTCCAGGTAAATTGGAGATGAGTTCCCTGAAGGAGTTAATTCTTTCTGGTTGTTCTGAATTTAAATTTCTCCCAGAGTTTGGGGAAAGGATGGAACATCTATCAATGCTTGCTTTAGAGGGAACAGCTATAAAAAAACTACCCTCATCACTAGGATGCCTAGTTGGGCTTGCTGTTTTGAACTTAAAGAATTGCAAAAGTCTTGTTTGCCTTCCAGATTCCATTCATGGATTGATTTCCCTCAGAATTCTAAATATTTCTGGGTGCTCAAAGCTCAGTAGATTGCCAGAGGGTTTAAAGGAAATCAAGTGTTTGGAGGAACTTGATGCCAGTGAAAGTGGTATTGAAGAACTACCTTCGTTGGTCTTTTATTTAGAAAATCTTAAAGTGTTATCATTTGCTGGGTGCAAAGGGTCAGTGTCTAATTCAGTGAATTTGAGTCACTTCAATTGGCTGTTTAGAAGTAAACCAGCTTTCACTGGATTCAGATTGCCTCCTTCTGTCTCAAGTCTACCATCTTTGAGATATATAAATTTAAGTTACTGCAATCTCTCCGAAGAATCAATCCCACATGATTTTTGCCACTTATCATCATTGTTGTCTTTGGATCTAACTGGTAACAACTTTGTTAGCATACCAAGCAGCATTTCTAAACTTCCAAAGCTGAAATTTCTTGGGCTGAATAGATGCCAAAAGCTTCAATTGTTGCCAGACCTTCCGTCAAGCATAATAGAGTTGGACGCAAGCAATTGTAATTCACTTGAAACTTCCAAATTCAATCCAACAAAGCCATGTAGTCTATTTGCATCACCTGTAAAATTGTGCTTACCTCGAGAATTGAATAGCTTTATTGAGGTATGTATCCTGGATTTATCTCTTAAGTGTGCTGAAATTCTTTAAGTACTCTCACAGTAATACATTAAGCCAATCAAAGCATAACATGGCTTTATAATAAGTTTAAGTTTATAATAAAGTTTAAGAATCTCCGTTCTTTTTACTTATTCAAATATTACAATGATTTGTTACAGGAACTTTGTCTTCCTAGTGCAAGATTTGACATGCTTTATACAGGGAGTGAAATTCCATCTTGGTTTGTTCCTCAAAAATGTGTTTCTTGGGCAAAAATACAAGTCCCTAATAATTGCCCTCTAGATGAATGGGTGGGGTTTGTTTTGTGTTTCCTATTAGTAAGTTATGCGGATCCACCTGAGTCATGCTGTCATGAAATCGATTGTTATTTGTTTGGACCTAATGGTAAGATGTTCGTCGCCACAAGGACTTTACCTCCTATGGAGCAAGGTTATCCTCACCTTTATATTCTTTATTTGTCCATTGATCGATTTCGTGAGAGAATTCTCGAAGATGATGATTACTGGAGTACAATTGAATTTGCTTTGAAAAGTTATTGTTGTCAATCATTGCAAATAGTGAGGTGTGGGAGCCGTTTGGTATGTAAGCAAGATGTTGAAAATTGGAACAAAGCAATGAGTCAATGCAATAGTAGTTGAAGGATATTTGGAGCTGAAATAGTTGGAGCTGCCAGTGGCATGGTGTGACAAAGTGGACCAGGAACATGGTGCATAAGTAGACAACTTAGGAATAATGCAGATGCAGGGTGGTTTTCTAGTTCTAAGTTATGCTATGGTGATTTCAGTTTGTCTTGGTTAGATTCAGTCGATGAAAATCTTCAACTTGGTGTTGTTTATATTTGACCTTGATGTGACAATTTAAACGAGACCATTTGAATCTATAAATTAATAAATTCTGTTTGTATGAAAATATTATGTCTATATTTAGAAGTGAACATCTTTTTTATGTTATGGTTTCTTGTATGACAGATTGCATGTTCTAATGACTTTGGTGTTAATATCAGCTAGTGATTAGGACCTAGTTTTTGTTGGATAACCAATTTAGACTTAAATGCAAGCAACAAAAGTTACAAAACTGCTAAACCCTAGCTAGATGCCAGGGTGGAACTTTAACATTTTACACCTTTACAAAAGTACAAGTAAAATTACCACCTGCTAAAGGACCCCCATACTTGATCCTTTCAATTCAAATAACAGTCCTGCAAAAAAAAAGGGGAAGAGGGGGGGGGGGGGGGGGGGGGGTCATTTCATTGATGAGTCTCTTAGGCCATAGTTAAAGAACAGTTAAGTGACTTACTTCTAAGATCAGGTCTTACACCATAATGCACGTTTGCAGATTGAACAAGGGATTGGCGAGGGAGGCTTTCCAATTCTCTATCTGCTTCATCAATCTTTAACTTTGGGGGCACTGCTGATGATGACCCTTTCAAGTTCTGAATCAGCTTTGCTTCTTTGTCATTGTGTTTCTTGTTCCAAAGAACAGCTGAACTAGCAGCCATGACTATGGACACCATATTACTAACATGTTGAGGAAAGACCTCAAAGGGTATGAAAATATTTTGTTAGAATTATGATCTATAGGGTAATGAAGTAACGGGTAATGATCCCAGTTAAGGAAAATTATGAACGAGGATGAGATTATAGCACAAGGCCAAAGCCAATTGTTTGGACCTAACATAGCTAATATGGATGCATCTGTTGCATTAGGCTTGAACAATATATGTTGAAGGTAAAATTGGGGTATCCAATTTAAGCTCCTTTCTTGTGATGTAGGCCTCAATTTGTAGTTGCATATTAGAAATGTCACAAGGGGTGCCAAGGTCTAGAATTGAAAGATATTAAGAGTTCTTGAATGCACAAATTAGGGTAACTTTTGGGGTTCTGTATCTGAATGTTGTGCTCATATACATTAGCTCCCGGATAATAGACACAAAGGGGGTGATTCCACTCCCTCCACTCACCATTTCATACCTAGTGAACAAAAAACCAAAAAGTTACTATGTGGAAATAAAAGCACTTATTTGAAATGAAGCTAAAAGTGAAGGCTCCACAATTGCTTATAAAGTTGTGTTTCTGCTTCTAAGATGCAGACCTTAGATAATTGGTTGATGAAGGTCCATAAGGACCTTCAACAGAGACATTGAGATGATCTACTTGCAGAAGGTGTTGAAAGCATCTGGTATAGTTTTTTAGACAAAGTTCCTTCACTTTTGATGACAATACTTAACGTTTCTGGCTCCAAGCTACTATTAAAAGTAATGGTAAATGAATGAATGCCACTGTAGCTTGGATATGCTTGGTACATTTATGAACATAACACTTGTGGATTATAAGTCAAGCCTGCCAAAAACCAAAAAAAAAAAAATGTCATAAAAATCTTAACATGAAAAATTAAGCATTTCTCGAGCAGAGGATATTATAAGATAGTGAGCTAGGACAGTCACATTAATTACCATGACTCTTAGAGAAGTTGAGTTCTACAGTTTCACATGGCAAAACACGAGCAGAAACCAAACGAACTTGGTGTCTTGATTGCAAAAACAAGAAGGCTAGCTCTGTGACAGGAACTATGTCACGAGGGCCTTTCACAAGCATCACACGCTTCCATATGGATACCTCATGTTTCTTGCCATAACTGCAGCTTATGGTGTATAAGCACCATAGAATTGAGCCAATTATCACAACTGAGTTTTCCTTATCTTACAAAATAAAACACTTTGCAGAAATATATACTGCTAGAAGGAGAATGATAAGTTCATCAAAATGGGGTTTAAGAATAAGAAAAGATGGTACTTTTCCATGTTGAAATTGTATGATATTTTGGCTATGTGGAGGTAAACACATCCCAAAACAGCTATGAACAAAACTGGAAAAGTGTAAACCAGAAGAGTTGTGCCTACAAGAAGAAAAGCATTGGATATCATCAAATATAAACTAAAATAGTGTAAATGCAAAGTGAATTTTTGACTACATACTAAATCAAAAAGCGACCCTGTGCACCAAAATAGGTAGAATTAGTCTTTGCTCGAAGTTGAGGCTGCCATATTTGTTTGCAAGTGTTTGTGGGCTTCATTATCCAAATGAAAATCCAACCCAAAAACACAACTAGCACCATCAGCCTTAATAGTTAGTCAATTTGAAGAAAGAGACTCTAATGTGGAATACCTGAGTGGAACTTACGTATTTGTAGTAATTAGTCAAGAATTAAGACCACAATTAATAATAAAGGGACAATCATACAAGCAGAAATCAGGATTGAGACACTATGAATGAAAGAACAGAAAGCATGTTAATACGAAAAGAAAATAGTAAAAATGACAGTGCTTAATTTCTCTGCAAATTTATGATGCGAGATAAACCATCCAAGTTAATCATTTTTTAATTTTTTAGTTTTTTCTTTTAGTATTTCCTCTCTCCCGTGGTAGGGGTATTCAATACCAAGTCTTTGTGCTAATTGTAAATAAGGTGTTGAATCGTCTAATATATTCAACGAATAGTTGTACTTGAATCTTCAAAAAGAAAACTACATTAATTAACTTTTTTTCTTGATGATGACAATGGATATTAATTGATGTTACATTTGGATTTTTTTGCAACTCTATTTTGATATACATCTCTTAAAATCATATCATCTCACTTATCTACAAAGAAATATATTTAACCCCCAAAGATTCAATCTAAAGCGGAGCTCAGTTGACAACTCAACTCTCAAAGTTTTGCTTTGTTTTAATAAAGAGATAACATTTGGAGCCGTGCTCCGACCACAAAGTGGTTGAAGGAGGTTGAATAGAGTTACTTTCAAATTCATACAAAAAAAATATAAAAAGTATTAAATTCAAAGTGTAAGAGTGAAAAAGAAAAGAATGCGAGACCAATTGCATTCATATTGCGAAAATTGTACAAATACAAGGTAATGTACTTATATGTCTAGCTTTACTCCTCATAAATCTCTCAAAGAAGAGTTATGCCTGTGTTGCAAATGTTCTCAACCCTAATCTCTTTTTACATCAATAAATTAATTAAGGGAAGATATAAAACTGTGCTGACGTGTCTTCATTTCCTAGAATAGTTTTTTTTTTTTTTTTGGAAAATAAGAATGAGTTAGAATGTATTCATTAAGATAAATGGAGCTCAAATATTCTATGGTTCCCAACTTCCAAAGCAGGAAGATGACTTGGATGGAGGGATAAACCGAAATATGTGCAACTCGTGTCTGCACAAAAAACTACTTAAACAGAGTAATGTTACATAAACTGATAAATTTTTACATAGCCCTCACAAGAATTTAATCTACGCCATTTATTCTTCTCTCTCTTTCTCTCAACCCAATTATTCTCACAAATCATTGCTTCACATGGATTTTGTAAGCTCTATTCACATGTTTGTCTGTACAAAACATTACAGAAATTAAAACGGCCCAAATTTAAAAGACACAACTAACAAATAAATACTTTCCAGCGCCATTACCATGTTCTGAAGAGCAGTAACATCAAATTCGCTCAAGCCAAGAGCTTACGTGAATGGTTAGAGATAGGTAACCAATTGATCAAAGGAGCAATTTTCTATGCAACTACTCAAAATTGGAGAAAATCAGCAAAAGAAAGCTTTCTTTCACTTCGTTCGCGTTCAGCATGCTCATTTGCTCCATGATTAATTCAAACAATACTTGGTCCAAGAAATCCAAAACAGATAATTTTGGATATCAGTTTATATTAACATTTAACACTCCATATGAAAGTTACATAAATATTTTCAGATGTTCAAACAGTTACTATCATGAAAGCTACAACATTACAAAACAAAGCAAAATGAACAATGATAAAAAAGCAAAGAAGAGTAAAAAGGTATCCCTTAATACTTACTATTATGATATAAACAAGTAAGGCAACTTAAATACAATACAACAATCCCTTAAAAAGTTGGTATTTCGTCAGGCTTTGAAACTCTGCCATCCTTTCTAGCTTGATCCGCAGTATGTTCCTTCATATTTCTTCTCTTTTCTTATGAAAGCCACCTAGATGGCTATATTACCTCATAGTTTACACACAACTTATTTCCTTGCTGACTAAATATTGCCAATCTTTCTTTCTTTGCTTTTGATAAAACTAAATATTGCCAATCTTAACATTATCCTCCGATAAATTCACAGGCAACCTTGACCACGATAAAGATTCCCGTGACCCAATCATCCTCCTACGAATCACTATGGATAAGCTTAACACAATGCACACAGCAGCCACCAAAGTAAGCAAAACACCTGTACTCCCCCTTGACCAGCTCTTCAGAACAAAATCAGCACAAACTTCTCCATCAAGACTATTGTGAGAATTGTTCAACTTCATAACCTCAACTCCATTCAATATACCATCAATGACATGAGGAATGCTGCTCTTTGAAGGACCTACAGTAACAGTCAATGCCCCTACACTGCTGTTTCCATCAACCACAAAGTCGGCATAAAACGGCGAAGCCAGTGAATTTGTAATATAAGAGAGATCCAAATCTTTATATGCTAAATACCCATTAACATAAACATTGAAATATAACAAACCAAGCGAAATACTAGCAATATCACAGAAATGCAATCGAACCAGGTATTTATATCCCCCAATGATAGGAAACACCCAAGTCATATTAACATTAGGAACAGAATCATTCTTACTTCTGATCAACCGTGCACTATTATACACATTATCAGGCCCAACCTCACGACTAGCCCCTCCACTGTGATACTTGATCCTACCACCAAAGTAAAGTTTTTCAATCCCAACACTTGATCTGAAGAACTCATCATCAGGAACCCAAGTCCTCCACAATGAATCATTAAAAGGGGTAACTTTAGGACCCCCAACAGTGACCCTATAAACAACTTCAAGAGCTTGCTTGCTTAAACCATCAAAACTCTCTACGTTCTCAGAACTCACAAACTGTGCAGTGTCAGGGACAAGGTCTTTGGGTGCAGAAATCACCTCAATGGCATTCACAAACGCCAATTTCGAATCTTTACCAGGCACAAACACAATCACGAGCTTTTCAGCATCGACCCAGATCAGATACTCCAGGATCCTAGGGTTTCTTTCAGCACCACTCATCAAACGGCTGAAATTGCTCAAAACGACATGCCCATCAACCAAGACGTGAAATTGAGCGCGACCCAGATCGAGTTTCGAGGAATCGAAGGCGTGGAAGTGAAGGCGCACCATGTGGGTCCCTCTGTCTCTGATGGGGAACGCGTACCTGAAAGGGCTAGTGAAAACCCTAGCGGTGCCGTAGATTGGGGGCAATCCAGGAAAGGGGTTTTCGTTTCGGATCGAAACGGCGCGGGAGGACAAGTGTTTTCCGGCGATGTCGCCGGCGAATGGGCGGTTATCGACGAGGGTGGCGGCGGCGGTGGAGCCGCAATTGATGAGGTAGTTATCGATGGGAGAGAAAAGGTGAGAAGAGACGGAGATGGTATAGAAGGAAAGTAAGAAGAGAGAATAAAGGAGAATATTGTACATGAACTCCATGGTTGAGAAGTGAAGAATGAGATGAAACTATTTTTCTGAGAGAGAAAAGAGTTCCATTTTGGTGGGGAAGAAGACTTGACTCACATTCATGTAAGAGAGTGGGTTGGGCCCACACGTCTTGACAGGTTGGATTTGATTCATTCCATGATGATTTTCTTTTTTAAATTTTTAGTATTAAATTTTAGGAAGAGATTACACTTTTTACTTTTTTTTCTTACTACTTGTTACTACCAAATTTTAATCGTTGATTTTTGTTAATCTAACGGTTATAATTTATTAGAATTAATAATTAATTAAGAAGTGTCACCCAATATATTATAACCGTTAAATTGATAAAAATTAACGATTAAAATTTAGTAGTAACAAATAATAATAAAAAAAATATTAAGTACAACATTTCCTTAAATTTTAACTTTGTTAATGTTTCTTCGTAAATTGGACGAAAAAGAATTAGAAATAGTTGACGTTGGAGGAAAGGATATCTACAATCCTTACCTACTGTTTGGTTGGGGAGAAGTGAAAATATGGATGGGTAAATGTATATGGGTATATAATAAAATCACATTTGGTTGAAGATTTTTAGTTTCTTTTCTCATCAAAGAGCTTTCCTAGCAAACCAAGAAAGGGACCAAAAACCAGATATCTTCACTGTTGAAAAAGCCTTTGAAGAGGTGGAATTTCTCATCAAAATCGGATATCTTAAAAAGCTGATGAATGGCATGCCAAGTTTACCCCTATTGTGGTTGGAAGGATGTAATAAAACGGTTTCATTTTTACGAGGATAGTTTTTTAATTTCATTAAGTTTTTCTATCAATATTTTATCTTCAACCAAACACACATTCAGAAATTTAATTCAATTTTCCTGGTAAAATTTTGCCTAACCAAATAACTTTTTTAAAATTTTCCTATCTAACTCATTTTTCCCCCAAATTCCTAGTATTTATATTTTCCTAGTATTAAAAAATTTCTCACCAACCAAACACTACTTAGGCTTGGTTTAGAAGTGTTAGACAATTGGTTAAACAGCATAAATTTTACTCACTTGTTATGAATCTAATCTTCCTAGATTTTTTCATTACTATAGGTAAATTTACAAATTAGTTATTAATTATAAACGTATCACATCAACCTATAAAATAGAATCCTTGTCTCGAAGGTTTGTGTGTCTTCAAGACCAATATGGAATGTCTCCGATGCAGCCATGGCCTAGGACAATTTTTCAAGTTTTTATTTTCCAAAGGTCATCTAATGAATGCTCTCCAAAATCTTAATTGAATTGTGCTTCATACATATTACATGATGCCTTACATTTCTCACATATATTAAGGTGGTACAATTGAAGTGTATGCGTGCAAAAAACGAGATAAACCATATATAATCAAATAATTAAAATTATGTAGATGGGAGATGATATGTATATAACATTATTCCTTTTAGTTTATTTTCCATTATCAGTCTCTCTTATTTGAAATTAATAGTTAACTAATAAATTTAATTTTCAATAAATAATAATTGTTGATTGGAAAAATCAATGGTTAGAATTTGATATCAAATTTTAAAATTACCGGTGTCAAAGAATTTTATCCTTATATATATATATATATATATATATATATATATATATATATAATATATGGGGAGGGATTTTTTTGACTCTAGAGTAAGACTTATAACTCTTACTCCTCATCTCAACCGTTGATTTCCGTTCATCTAATGGTTATTATTTATTTGAAATAAATAAATAATTAATTATTATAGATAACCGTTAGATTGACAGAAATCAACGGTTGAGATGAGGAGTAAGAGTTGTAAGTCTTACTCTAGAGTCAAAAGATCTCTCCCCTATATATATATATATATATATATATATATATATATATATATATATAGGATCATTTGACATCGGTGTCAAATTTCAAATTTAACACCTCATCTGAGAGCCGTTAGATCAAAAGAGATCAATAGTGTCACATGCTTACAAATCAGAGTCGTTGTTATTTTTTGATCTAACGACTTTCAGATAAGGTGTCAAATTTCATCTGATAGCCATTAGATCAAAAAAGATCAATGGTGTCAGATGCTTACAAATCAGAGTCGTTGATCTTTTTCGATCTAATGGCTATCAAATGAGGTGTCAAATTTGAAATTTGACACTGTGTCAAAGGATCCTACCTCTATATATATATATATATATATATATATATATATATATATATATATATATAAAACTTAAGAATGCTAGTTATATCTATCAAAGGGAAAAAAGTTTGTCATTTTAAATACATAAAGTTATGTCATTTTAAGAGAGAGTTTTAAAAAAAATTATTTAAAATTTAAATTAAAAAAATCACCCACTTTCTCCTCCATGATTTTTATTTTTTGTGTCCATCTCTCTCCTAAAATTAAAATGACAACCATCAAACCCTATATCAAATATAAAAATAATTTATAAACATTCAAACAAGAGGTTAAGATTTCAGAAAAATTTGACAATAACAAGAAGGGTTACGTTTATAAATTTTATTTATTTATAACTCTTACAATCTGGAATTTTTACCCTTTTGCCTCTCATTAATTATTTAATAACTATTTTGCTCCTTATTGCAAACTATCTACCAATTTGCCCCTCTTTAATCGATTAGATTGAATATTTAATCGATTAAATGGTCAAATAAAGATTTAATCGATTAAATCTTTAACTTAATCGATTAAATCTTTAACTTAATCGATTAAATCTTCCTCTTTATCAGAAGAACAACCTTATGTATGGAAGATTTAATTGATTAAATAAGGAGATTTAATCGACTAAATCTTTAAGTCAACGATTTTTGCCTATTTTGACCATTTAATCGATTAAATTTTTGGCTTAATCGATTAAAGATGGGCAGATTGATAGATAGTTCTGAGTAAGGAACAAAATGATTATTAAATAATTAATGAGGGGCAAAAGGGTGAAAAAGCCCTTACAATCTTAACTATGTATTTCAGAAAATACATTCTCAAATTTTTATACTCCCCAAAATACATAATTGAAGTTATAAGCAATGTTATTAAAACCGGCCCGGTCGAGGTACTGGGTCACTGGTTCAACCAGTGGGTCATTGGTTCAATCGCATGACCCGATAATTAATATAATTTTATAATTTATATTAAAAAATTATAAACATACTCAAATATCTAAAAAAATGATTAAAATTTCAAATATTTTAATATAAAAAAATAAATCACATATTATTATCCAATAAAAGATCAAACAAAAATATAATGATCGTGATACGGGGCATTAGGTTCAGAAAATGATATCCCTAACTATAAATCAAATCAATTTTTTTTGCATAGTGCATAATTGAGATAATATTAGTATTGTAAAAACATAACTTATGTAAGTTAATAAGCAAAAAAATATTCAATTATGTCCATTATGATTTTATTTTTTTTTTGAAAAAAGAAAATTGGAATTTTTTTTGTGACCGGGTCGGGTCACCGGGTAACCGGTTTTCATGAAACCGGCCGGGTCGGACCGAGTCACACCGGTTTTGATGCATGACCGGTCCATTGCTTCAACCGGACCAGTTATATGACCGATTTACCGGTTCCCGGGTCGACCCGGTCGGGTCGGTCCGGGTTTAATAAGACTGGTTATAAGAGTTATAAACTAAAAATTTTTATAAATGTAACCTTTCCCTAATGTTGTGAGTAGACACAAAGTCCAGAGATTATTTTATTTAACGTTGTGAGTAGGGGTGTAAATAGGTTAGGCCAGCCTACGACTAGCCTATATTAAACTAGGTTTAGCCTATTACAAATAGTAAAATAGAATAAGCCTAAACTTTTAAAAATACATATTTAAAAAATAAACCATAAACTTTTTTGTACATGTCAGGCCTATAAGCCTACTGATTGACCTATATCATATATTTATTTTAAATAAAATAAATAAAATTATTATTTTAATAATTTTGAATATTAAAATAATATTATTTTAGTTATTCTTTTAATTGTTAAATATTTAATAGGCTTAACCAGGTTAACAGGCAGAGGCCAAGACTTTTATTTTTTAAATATAAGTCAGGTCAAACTTGTAATTTGGAGTCTACACAGATTAACAGGCTAGGGCAGACCCAATATTTTTCACACAGACCTGACCTATTTAAGCCGAAGCCTAACTTAGCCTAGTCTATTTACACCCCTAGTTATGAGAATTTTTTTTTTCTCTCTTTTCCTTGATTCCCACGTATACACAAACTATTAGGGTAATACTTTTCTTATGTTGCATAAAAGAAGTATTATCTCTTGCTCAAACAATAAATATGAGAGAGAAAAAAGTTGGAGGTGAGAGAAAAAAAAATTTGTGCGATTCCTTTGAAAAATGTGAATGCAAGAGATAATATTTTTCTTTTGCAACATGAGAAAAATATTACCTTTAATTTTATCATTGTAATTAGTTTTTCCCTTCATTTTCGACTATCTTCTTTCTTGAGAGATTTTATCTGTAGAGGACATCTCTTCAACCTCTCACAACGAGACTAAATTTAGCCTTATGATCCAAACAAGGAAGCTACGCTGCATCACAGAAATGGTGGAACTTCCAAAAGCTTGGAAATTTAGAGGTTAGGTTCTGTATGAAATTAATTAAGATGAGGCAAATTTGCAAGTAAAATAATGGTATCTTGGAAGATCATGACTGAATGGAACCGTAACATTGAAACAGAAATAATATTTTGTCTCATCACAAAGTTGGGCCATATAAAGTAGCCAAAACTTTAGACAATTGAATTTATTCATTGTGGTCTAATAATCCACATAACGAGATTTCTTTTAGTGTAATTTGCAATTATTTTTTATGTATATTCTCACTCGTAAAAAATCACATACAAAATTATGCTGAAGAATTTTGTCTAGTTAAAAGAAAAATACAGTATTTATATAAGAATGTAAAAACAAAAAAAATATAAACGTAATTTTAAAATCTAATCAAAGTCGCTATTATTTTATCAAATCTTAAAAATTTAATATAATTCCATAGCATTTTTACATCACCTCAAGATTTACATTTGTTATACTCATCTTTGAATACACTACATTTTCCGTATACAGTTTTCAAAATAATATGAAAATGATATATGTGGGGAAAAGAAACAGCAAAATGACTGAGTGAAGAACTATTAACAAAAAGTTGATCCATTCCCCATGCCTTTAACTACTACTCAACAACTTCATCTTCTCTGCATTCCCCTACCTCAATCACCAGTGTTCCTTCCCCCTTTGTTGCTTGAACCCTGCAACAATTTCTTCTTGGAGACTGCTCAAAACAATAAAACAAACCAAAAATCCATTTTATTAATTAACCAAATTATCAATTCCACTCACTCTATAATACCAAATCAAAATAATATATATATTGGGCCAAAGTTTGGGCCTTAGAAAAGAGAAAAGCTACCTTATCCCACATATGCGGGATGGGCTTCTTACGGACCTCTACCATTTGGATTTGGGCCGGATCTGCCATTTTCCACTTGCAATTAGGATTCGGGTTGACCCGGACATACTGACTCACAATCTCATCAGCAACCTCATTATAGATCGCATTAGACAAGTAAAAAACAAATGGTTTCTGACAAACATTTCTGCTGAAAGGGCGCGTGTTGAATGGAAATCCAGTATAATCGGCCCGGCGATACCAATTGAAGAAAGTTCTCGCCGGCATCTCTATATCCCGAGGCAAGAAGATGCCTCGGAATATTTGAACCACATAGCCCCAAGAAACGGATATGGTCCATGCCCGATTTTTTTCATAGCAGATGGATTGTTGCATAAGCCCATACGAGTCCAGTTTCATTGGGCCTTTGAGCCGCTGCAGGGCCTGGATTTGTGTCATGTTTGGAAATATGGGCTCAAGTATGTCCAAGTGATGCAGGGACACTAATGGTGTCACGGGATGAGCTGCAAGGAGCCCAAACACATTGCCATACACGTCAAACTGGGAAAAATAAAATAAAAGAAACCAATGTAAGTTGATCCCAAAAAATTATTAGATAAAAATAAATTCAAGACTAATATAAGCAAATATAATTTATATATCTATAACACTGTGGTAATATATATGAAATATTTTGACTCAAGTGTAAAATTAAAAGTTTTATTCTATATCTTAGCCATTTATTTTATTTATCTAATGATTATAGTTTATTGAGTTATATCAATTAATTAATTTTTAATTTTAAATAAATTACAATCGTTACATAGACGAAAATCAAATGTTAAGATATAATTTATATATAGAATGCTGCCAAATTAGAAACAGAAATTCCTTGTTCTGAAATCAAGAAATTTTGTCAGATCAAACACAAGGAAACAAGAACTTCCACAAAGCCAGCTAATGACATGCTGGATTTGCAATACCAGATAGAGGTATGTAATAATATGTATCACAACTCTAGATGGTGCCAAAATAATGTCACGCAGTTGTTGCAACTTAGATCCATGCGATCCAAGAATCCATCATGCAGGTTCTATGTTATGTAATTTTATTTATTTTTTTATTTTGAAATTCATGTCATGAGTGGGGTTAATTCAGCTAACACCAGGACACCTCACAGCACATAATATTAATAAAGCAGCCACGTGCATCATACGTGGAGGCTGCGCATGACTTGGATATTCCTTATAGTTCATGTTAAAACAAAAAGGGGAAAAAAGGAGAAACCAACAACCCTTTCATAATGGCTTTTTGGATTGGTGGGAGATGGAGGTGACATTATCGGTGGTGGATTTTGGTTGGGTCTGATACAATAAGTCATTAACGGAAATTGGGTAACTGGAGGATTTCCAAGACAAATTACGAAAGCAAATTATTGTTTTAGTGAATGCCACTTATGATTCATTTATTTTTTTCTGTTATGGCACCTATGGCCTGGTAGAAATGTTTTATTATTATTGACATGATAATTATTCACCTCTTCGATAAGGATATATAGTTCTCTAAAAAAAGCAGCACGTAATTTTATTTGCAGTGAAAATTGACACATGAAAAACATTTTTTAGCAAGTTAATTTGGAGAAATATTTAGATCATTAACGTTTTCTTTAGGCTTTATTTTATCCTTTCATTATCTCATTCAAATATAATCCCAAGTAAAAACCAATCAGATAACTCATATCCATCATTTTCATTGATGATAAACCATATTCATCATTGATTGACATTCTCTTTTATCTTTTTTTGTTTCAATCATATGTTGACCAAATTCAAGCAGTAAAAAAAACACCAAACTTAATTAATGTTACCCAAAACAAAAAACACTAAGGCTCCTTTTGATTTCTGTTTTGCAAAACAGTTTTTTAGTTTTTAAAACAAAAAGACTAAAAAATTCGTTTGGTAAGACCTGTTTTATAAAAAATGTTTTGAAAACTATAACTGTTTTTTTTTTTTAAATCAAATTTAGAGAACATGTCTGAGTTGTTTTTGTTTTCTGTTTTGGTTTGTAACTTTCAAAAAGAAAAACATATAGAAAACAACTGTTTCCATAACTATTTTACAAAACAGTTTTAAGAATAAAAAAATCAGAACACAATCGAACAGACCCTAAATTTCTTCCAACATTTTTTTAACCCTTTTTCTCAATTTCGCAGGAAGAACCAAACAGAACCAGACAAAACCAAGAGGAAAATTTCATAGACAACTAACCTGATGAAAGCCTTTTTCCTTAGTGAGTGGAACACCAAGCTCTGCCATACAAGCTTGAATCCTATCATCTGAGCCATACAATGTTGGATACCTCTGAATGCACCTATCTTGCATTCTCTCCAATGCCACAGCCAATGGATAACTGATAGCAAAACCACCACCCCCATAAGCCATATTATAAGAAAAATGTATATTCTGAAAGTGGCTCTCTGAAGAACCTCCAATGTAATAGAATTGGTTGTGATCATATTTTTGCAACACTTTAACCAAATTCTCAGTCACAAACACAGTGTCATCATCCCCCATCACAAACCACCTCACATTCTCCATCCCAAGCCTCACTGTCTCTGACACTATCCGAGATATTCTTATCCCAGACCTATTCCCATGTGGGTGTTTGTACTTGAACTTTGAAGTGTCACTAGATATCTTCAATGTTGGAAGAAGATACTCATCCCCAGGTTCATTTTTCACCTCTTGGTCAAGCCACACATTGCCCCTTGTTTCATTTGGCCTCCACCATAGCTTTATGTACTCTTTTCTATGATTCCATAGCTTGGCTGAGGCTCCTATCCCAAACACTATGTGGGTTATGTTGGTTTGTTCAAAGGGTATTACTAATTTATGTGTCTCTTCGGATGGAAGAAGTGCATTGTCAGATAAGTTTGTGATTGGAAGGTAATGGTTTTTGTCACAATCATCATATGAATGGGTAACAAATCCAAGGGAATAGAAGAGGTAGGAGATGGAGATTAATAGGAAGAAGAAAGCCATTAGCTTTGTTATGGTCCATGAAGAGTAAAAGTGTTCTGAATCTGTGAGATTGTTCTTCATGGTTGCCATTTATGATTTCAAAGGATTTTTTGATTTTTTTCACGAAAGATACATATAGAGAGAGAGAAGGTGGGGCGTGAAGTGTGTAGGGAGGATTTGGGGTCTTTGTGAAGCCTTTTAAGGTGGTATGTTACACAGTCCACATAAAATTAACTTGTGTTAAAGTGTTATGATTAATAGGTGACACTTTATTCTAAACAGAGCAAGGCACTATGTTGAATTCGTGACCAATTGGTTATTCCAGCTCTAATATCATGTCAACTTGTCAACAACTATTTTAACCTAAAAGATTAAGCTTAAAGTTTTGTTTGGGAGTTTGAAATGGACGGGAAGAGAAGGAAAGGAATTCGAGGGAAATGAAGGGAAAGGGAAAAAAAAGGAAATAAAGGATATTCTCTTCCTTTATTTGGGAGTAGGAGGTGTTAACGGGTCGAGCCAAGTCGAACTTTGATCTTGAAAGGTTAAGTCTGTGTTTAGATGTGTCAGCCTGACCAAGCATGTTACCTGTTATAAATATTAATTATCGGCATATGACTTGACTTATTTATAAAAAATAAAAGCCCGGTTTAGCTTGTTAGCCTGTTTAAAAAAATTAAGACAACAAAAATTTATCCAAATAGAATATACAATTAACAACACTAGTAATTCCATAAATTCAATGTATATCCAAATAGCATAATATGGAACAAAATCATTCAAAAAGTATATTTAACCAATAAAATGGGATGAAATAGATTGAGAAGAAAGAGAAGGCCATTACAGGTGGTATAAAAAATATAAAATTAAAATAAAAAATAATATATTAGGTAAGTCTGAGAGGCTCTAAGGCCGAGCTTTTGAATTGGGGCCTGAGGCCTTTTTATTAAACGAGCTTTATACAAATTCAAGTCTGGTGCCAACAACCAATTTTAAACATGTAAGCTTAGGCCTTCACGTACCGAGCTAAAAGTCCCTAAAAGGCCTCTGATTTGTTTAGCACCCTATTTGGGAGTTAAATCCTCAGTGAATTTTACTTTTAAGAATAAGAAAGATTTTTAGAGGGTTTTGTGAATATCCCCAAATCTTTTCCCTCACTTTTTAAAACTCGCAAACAAGGAAAGAGATTAATAAAACTCTTCCTTTTCTTTTCCTCGTAAAACTAACTCTCAAATAAGCCCTAAGACGTGAGGATATATTAATTAATTTGTATCTTTTATATTCATCTAACAACTTCGAGGTTGTTAGAGAATAAAATATAAAGTATTAAAAAGATCATCACCTACTACTTCAAAGTTTTGGGTTTAAATGATTCTTAACATTGAAATGGTTCGAAAGGTTTATCTTCAATGATAGAGTTGAAATTGATCGTATTAAGATCAATAGATAATTATGAGTCTCTGTTTTTTAGCTCGTTGTGAAAATAATTGAAGTCAATTAAACTTTTTTTTAAAAAAAAAAGGTTTTTTTTTTTTCTATATGAAGTAAAAGTTTTAGAGTAAATTAGACTCTATCTATTTTTTTGGGTAAATCATTAGACTCTATCTTTAAAGTTTCTTAAACTACCAAAAAAAAAAGTTTCTTAACAAACTTTTAAATCGGAGTAAAAATTACAATTTATCTTCTTCTTTTTAAATTTTTACTTAACTGTTTATTAAATTTAACCGAAAATTTGTTTCATTTGTTAAATTATATATCTGAATAACTCAAGGCATGTATGTGAGAATTTTATATTTTTGTTAATGATATTTTGAAAATTTTCTTCTTTTACTTAAAGGCTGTGGGTATTCTGACATAAGAAGTTATGAACACAAGTCAAAAACAGACTATAAATAAGAAAAATAACACGAAATGAAATTAAGGATCTGAAATAATATTTTGTCAGTTTCGTTATTTTAAAAAATTGAAAGTAAAAGTTAAATAAAGATGATACTTTTGTAATTATTAATAAAAATATATCGACAAAAAGTAAAAATAAAAACTAAATCACACACACTTATATTACTATAACAAATCACCATTCAACAAAATTAGTACAATACAACTTGTTACAATTAAGAATTTAGTGAAAAAAATTATCTCCCTCCAAAAATCAACTCTTCTAAAAAAAATTAATCTCATAAATAATTTTATAATTGGCACACATTTTCATACAAGACCCTATATATAATTAGACTTAAAAGTATAATCAAACAAATTTTCACATTTTTCTTGTAGCTAGTGGTGATGAATTAAGGGAGAGTAATTACTCAGTAACTAAATAACAATCGTATACCCATTGTTAATTCTTTAACATGTATGATAAATTTGGTGCCAAACAATGTATCAACTTCCAAGCTCATTGAAGTTTTAAGAAAATGAGGTTATCATACGATTTGGATCGTATTAAAGAATTGGTTTTGCAATAATATTTGAGTAACGCTACAGCCATTTATTTTGGGAACAAAATATCACATGCTACACAAACCCTGTTGAATGGTACGTGTAGCTTATAAAAATAAAACGCTATGTGAACATAGTGAATCAGAAATAAGGAATCGGAATGAAATTGTATCTCTCGGCTCAATAAATATTTTATAGAAACCATAATAATAATAATAATAATAATAATAATAATAGTAATAATAATAATAATAATAGCATAAGTCCTCAAGCGTATGATATGAGGAATAAAAATTATTGTTCCTTATTTTTTACCATTTGTTTTAAAAAATAATAAATAATTTTAAATTTGTAAGATATTGAATGCTTAGTTATTTTTATGTAATAGTTTATACGTAATTCAAAAAAAATGTAATAGTTTATAGGATTTGTTTTTTCTAAAGTTTCTTTAGACAAATTTGTCTAATGTTTACCGAAACGACGTTGTTTTAGGCAGAAGTCATGATATATTTGTAATTTTAATTTATTTTAGGGTTATAATAGTCTTTTTCATTTTAATTTTTTAATTTTTTTCAACTACAAAACAACGTCGTTTCAATGAACATTAGACAAAATTAACATTAGATACTTTTTTTCCTAGTTCATTTTTTTATTCTCTTAACATGTATGAAGGACACACGTTAACAAAATTTCAATAATAATGAGTAGTAGTAAGTTATATGACAATTGAATACTTGGGTTGGGAGAGAACAAATCAAATTGTTTGTTTTCTATTATTATTACAAATTTAAAAATGTAATCATGCTTCTATTTATGCATATTTATTCTATACGGATGAGTTTATAAACTCTATGCATGCATCCAAAACAGAGCATTAGTGAATTGAGTGTTGGTTGTTTTCAGCTCTATTACTTACTTGAAAACATTTTATCTTTGTCTTACAAACGCAAGTGGGTTAAGAAACTTAAAATCAGATAGAAACCAAAAATTAAATAGCCAAACCCATATCCGTGAAGCAAGAAAAATTACGACTGTCTTAGTACATACTGTATTCTACAAGCAAGTACATAAACTAATTACTAATATATATATGCAGAATAATTTTAATCAACACTTTTGTTGCTTTCTTAAATGGTTTAGTTGTGATTGATAACTTCAGCCACTTACCACTGCGTGGAATTCCCATATTGATTAAATATGCTAGTTTCAGTGGCAGTGGAGTTTAGCAACTTTGGTATACATATATATGTTAAGGTAGCTACAAGCTATAATTTTTTCTAATTTAAGAAATTCACCAAATGAAAATATTTTGCATACTCTAGTGGGAAGGAAATGAGGTAACTTGAAGAAATCTTCGACTAACATTGTGCATGATTGTGATGAGATCCCATGGGAAACGAAAAAGAATTTGTCATTTTCTGTGGAAGAGTTATTTGTCATGTGGAAGTGAAATAATAGATGCTTGGAAGACTCTCAAATATGCTATAAAACGAATGGTGTTTGGATTCAGTTAATTATTTATTGGAAGCTTGTGGTTGGTGAGACCTCCCACATCAAGAATGGTTTAAAATACATCAAAATTCTGATTTGTTGGAATCCTATTTTAGAAACATGATATTCAATGGCCTTTTTGTGCCATCAACGTTAACAGGGAAAATATCAGGACAAAAAGGATTGCTGGGGAGTGGGGATCTAACCCTGCACTTTTTGTAAGGAGAAATTCTTCATTAGACTTAATTTACACAAATTATGTAAATTAAGTTACTTACACCAAACTTTATTAATTTATATTAAATTATTCTATTAACATTATGCAAAATAATAATGTGTCAGTTTATAATTAATTTAATCTACTCAACTTATATTAGTCTTTAAGCTTTTATAATGTCAGCTTAATGAAGTAAGCAATATGGGTATAATTTTTTTAAAATGTGTATGACTTTCATAAATTTTGGAGATATCTTCTCACCAAAGTAAAAGATAATTATTTAAATTAATGCATGTCCATTTAGCCAACAAAAACAATTAATGGATATAAAAACGCAAGATTGCAAAAGAAAGTCTTCCAATATGCCATGATCTCCAATCCATATCTATTAATTTCAGACTCTAATCCTTATCTTCTTTTTAACCTATCACTTATCCTTTTTCCAGCCTTCTTTAATAATAACTTTTTATTTATTTTTGTACAATTATCTTTCTTTTTTTTATGATTAATCGACTAGTGAGATATTTTATAATTCATTTATCAAGACATAATTCAATGACACTTACACCTGAACACAAGTTTAAATCATATAATAAACAAAGGGAATGTTATTCTCATTTTACATTAGAGTAGTTCTTTTATGTTACACAGAGAAAAGCCACATGGAGCCCACCATAAAAGGATAAAAAAGAAAAAAGAAAAAGAGTGGGTGAAATTTTCAAAATGAGATAACATGAGATAATTATCTCATGTAAAATGAGAGTATTTCCAATTGGTTTATTTCTAATTAGTTGCGAAGCAATGAACCGATTGGAATATTTTCAAAAAAAAAAATGAGATTAATATTTCCCATAAAAAAAATACTTGATGTTTTTCTAATTATAGTAATTCATAGATATTTTTCAGTTAAAAAAAAAATCAATTTTTTTGGTAATTCATTCGCCAATAACATTAGTCATAGCGGGCCGAGGCCTTGTGATAATGAATCCAATAAGCCTTGTTTTGACCCATACAACACAAGAAGAGCTTAAATTGGGCCATGTTTTCACCCTACCAATAGAAGCCCAGTATTTTTTTCATAAAAAGAAGAATATTATAAATATTCTATTTTAATGTTTAATTAAATCAATAAAAAAAAATAGTTATATGAAAATTTTATATTATATTTATTTATTTTGTGTGATTTTGCTAACAAAAGTGCACGTAGCGACGTGCATGGCATAGGGGAGAGGATGGCGATGGAAGGAGATGCAGATAAGGAACGGAACGAGTCAGGCGAGTCAACACGGTCGGAGGAGGTTGAGGAGATCCAGCGAGTTATTGAATCGGTGGTTCAAATCGGTGAATACAGAAGAACGCAGAGGAAGGAATGTCACAACTTGGTACGTCGTTTCAAGCTTATGTTGCCGCTTATGGAAGACCTTCGTGGCCTTCAACAACCCATTCATGAGAATGGTCTTGTTTGGTTAAGGAACCTCAACGACGCGCTTTTGTGTGCCAAGGACTTGTTGACAAATTGCAGCCAAGGAAGCAAGATTCACCTCGTAAGTTGTTCCTCTTAATTTCATCAAACATATACATGCATGTATATATATGCATGGTTTCTATAATGATATGGTATAAAAGCCTTTGAAGCGGTGTGGACACAACGGTTAATGTTGTTGTTGTTGTTGCCATATAACACGGCGGTTACATGTTTGATTCATGTAATTAACGTCTTGCAATCAAAGATAAGGTTGTCTTTTATAGAAACAAACAATAGGTTTGACCCTTCCCGTAACAAGAGTTTGGTAACATCCAAGTTGTCTTATGGTCCAACATTAAAAGTTTGTTAGAAATATCATCTAAAATTATTCATGTTACCACTCAAGCTTTATACAATAGTTGGTTTGTGATAAGGTAAAAAAAGGGTTCTTGTGATAAGTGGGGTATTGGATTTTTTAAATTTTATTTTTTTAATCTTATTTTCTTTTTTTGGTATTAGGCATTGGAGAACGAGGGGGTTATGATCAAGTTTCAGAATGTCTATGAAAAATTAAGCCAAGCGTTTGATGATTTGCCTTGCGAGGAATTGGGGATTTCTGATGAAGTCAGAGAACAGGTAGGTCCGTTTTCATTTCTCATCTCTTTGTGTATAAAAGTGATTCTTTAATTTTTTTTGGAAAAATGAATTTTGAAGTTTGAACATGTTTATGAAAAGTAATTTTGTGATCATGACTTTTCTATATATGATGTTTGAATAATTTTTTATTTTTTAATTGTGAATGGCAAAGATGAAAGTTTTATATGTTCTGTTTTGTGTAAAATACATGTAACTTGGAAGGAAAACAAAATGCCAGATTTTGATGTCATGGTTAATAATATGGAAAGAAATTTCATTTTTGGCATCTATGTATAAGCTTAGCCTAGTCTTTGATTGCCTTGCAGGGATCATTAATTAACCATTGGTGATGATTAATTTGTTCTTCTTTGTGGTTTGTGGTGTATGAATTCTGGTGCCATTTATAATCTGGATTTCACAACCTTTCTACTCTTCATTTTCTATTCAGATTGAGCTAATGCACGTGCAACTCAGGCGAGCCAGGAGAAGGACTGATACACAGGACATAGAACTTGCAATGGATATGATGGTAGTTTTTTCTGATGAGGATGATCGCAATTCTGATAGTGCTATCATTGAAAGACTTGCAAAAAAGATGGATCTTCATAGTGTTGAGGATCTTGAGGTAGAAACAATGGCTGTTAGGAACCTGGCTACAGAAAGAAAAGGGCAACAAGCTGAGAGTAACCAGAGAATAATTGACCTTCTTAACAAATTCAAACGAATTGTTGGCATGGAAGAAACCAATGTCCTTGATGATCCTGTCATTCCCAAGATGCTTGAGAGGTCCACATCTTTGGTCATCCCTCATGAGTTTCTCTGCCCAATAACTCTAGAAATCATGACAGATCCTGTTATTGTTGCAAGTGGACAGGTAATCAATCACACAGTTCTTGAATTAATTAATTTTCTTTTGTTACAAGTTGAGTGAAAAAGTAAAAGCCTGAGTTGAAAAGATACTTTGCAAGTATGCATGCTGTTTTAATAGCAAGTGTTTTGTAGAATGAGTTCAAACTTTTTCACTATATATGATACTGACAAAACTTTTCTTTTTCTTGTCATTATGTGTTTCAATCAAAGACATATGAAAGGGAAAGCATAGAGAAGTGGTTCAAATCCAGTCATAACACATGCCCAAAAACGAGGCAACCTCTGGCTCACCTTTCATTGGCACCAAACTGTGCATTAAGAAACTTGATTGTGGAGTGGTGTGAGAACAATAACTTCAAACTTCCTAAAAAATATACTTCTTTTGATCAAGAAAGCTGTCCCATGGAGAACAAAGAGGAAATTCCATCTTTGGTAGAGAGCCTATCATCTATTCATTTAGAAGAGCAGAGAATGGCAGTGGAGAAGATACGTATGATATCAAAGGAAAATCCTGATAACAGAGTTTTGGTTGCTGAGCATGGAGGAATACCACCATTAGTACACCTATTGTCATATCCTGACTCAAAAATACAGGAGCATGCAGTGACAGCACTTTTAAATTTATCAATTGATGAAGGTAACAAGAAACTCATATCTAAAGAAAATGCTATACCAGCTATTATAGAAGTATTGGAGAATGGGAGTGTTGTGGCTAAAGAAAATTCTGCAGCAGCTTTATTTAGCTTGTCAATGCTTGATGAGAATAAAGAGATTGTGGGTCTATCAAATGGGATTCCCCCTTTGGTAGAGTTATTACAGAATGGAACAGTTAGAGGGAAGAAAGATGCTGCTACAGCTCTCTTTAACTTATCACTTAGTCATGCAAATAAAGGTAGGGCCATTAGTGCTGGCATTGTGACACCTTTACTTGAATTGCTCAAGCACATAAACTTGGGTATGATTGATGAAGCACTCTCCATTTTATTACTCCTTGTATCAAATTCAGAAGGAAGGCAAGAGATTGGACAGCTCTCATTCATTGAAACCCTTGTTGGGTTCATAAGAGATGGAACCCCTAAGAACAAGGAATGTGCAGCATCTGTTCTTCTTGAGTTATGTTCAAGTAACTCATCTTTTATATTGGCAGCACTTCAGTTTGGAGTGTATGAGCATTTAATTGAGCTTAAAGAAAATGGAACTAATAGAGCACAGAGGAAAGCAAATGCAGTCTTAGATCTCATCAGCAGGAGTGAGCAGATTTAATTAGTATTGTTTTCTCTAGTGTATGTATAATCTTATTTCTTCATTGTAAATTAATTAAACTAATTCTTTCTCTTATCTTGGTGTACAAAGTACAGTTGAAAAATGTAATTAAATTCGTTATCACTCATTCATCCCTTTGATTAGGTGCAATGAATTAATTCTTTTTAAAATTTGAAATACTAATAAAATTTGTGAAACATTATTTTTGAAATTCATTTTGCAGTTTTTAATTGATAAAACTATATCAAATGCATAATTAAGCATCATTATTAAGCTCTCAAGTCTCTAACATTATTCATCTGGACATATACTAAAGGATATGGAAGGCCTTAACATAAAATTAAGAGTTAAGACTTAAACAAAATAATATGCAATAGTGCGAAAAGACAGCTAAGTCGCCAGCAACACAGGATGAGATTATAGCTAAGTCTAGGCATTCCTCGTGAAAGGTAGGATAACAAAGCCACCTAAACTAATCAATCAGGAGACATGTTACTCATGTTGCTACACTAAGGCGGCATAATCAACCAACAAGCAAGTAATGTCGTTTACTATAACAAGAGAGGCTTGAAATCCTAGTACGATTATCATTTTTCAATATACTTAAACTTATTAAGCAAACACTGATTTGAGTATCCGAATGCCTTGCAAGTCACTCAACGGGGACATTTAGAGTCAATCCCTCTAATATCATCATAAGCAACTATGCAAAAAGTTTCATTGAATCTGTTGAGATATATAAAATTATTAATGTAGTCTCACCTAACAGCTTAAGCTTTTGGGTTGAATTGGTACACTGAGACTCTAATACTATGTAAAGAACCAATTCAACACAAAAACTTAAACTGTTGGGTGAGGTTACATTAATGATTTTATATCTCTCAACATAATCCATCTATTTGGACGTGACTTAGCCATGTATGATTTGACTCAACTCCATTCGGTCATATCAATTATGATAAGGCAAAATATAATTTTGAAGACTCATGGTTCAGCTAAGAGAAAATCAATAGCCCAAAATATTAGGAGCTATGTATATGTATGAGAGAATGAATTAAATGATTCATTCCTTGATTGAATTTGTGTGAGACTCTCTCCGCACATATCAGCATACCTATCGTAACTCATAACTGTAATAACACCATCACTTTTGTCTATCCATGCTCATCTAATAATGCGTTAACTCTGGGTCCCTTTTGTTCTTACTCTTTGCACTTCTTTATTTATTTCAATTATAAGTTACTTCGTTCTGAATTTTTTCAAGATATTTATTTTCATATATGCATCTGTTATTTTAAGCTTCAATCTGTATTCATACCAAGTCATTGTAAAAAAATACAAAAATAAATAAAAAAAATTAACACTTCAAAGAAGTAGAACCATTAGAAAATATCATTTGCATTGCAAGAACATTTTAAATTCATTTGAAATTTAATAAATATAAAATAAAATTAAAACGTTTAGGAGGAAACATATTTAAGTTTATAAAGAATATATGCATAATTCATTAAAAAATTTAAATTGAAAAAAGAGAGTTAAAAATAACATGTGCCATTCTTAAGAAAAACAAACTGATAAATTCAATCACTATCATATATTCTAATTTAAAATATGTAAGAATGTATCGATCATTTTAAATATTATACCTAATCATATCAAGTTCTTCGTACTCGTTTAAAGGGGTTTTTTTTTTTAATTTCTCTTCTCTTTGTGAGGAGAAATTTTGCTTAATATATTTTCATAAAAGTTCTTATAATAAATTTTTTTTGTAATGAATGAAATAAAAAGAAAAGAAAAAACTAACAGCTCCCAGGAGAAATATTTTTAAGATATATGCTATCTTTTTATGAGTTCTTGTATTTTTTTCAATTATACCTTTATTCTTAAATTATATTTACAAATTTTATTCTCTATCCTATGAATGAATAAATTTTACATATTAAGTTCTGAGAACATCACCATGAAGAATGAGCAGCGTTTGTATTTTATTCATTCATGGATCTACTTTTTTCCTTTAAATACTTTATCTTTAAGATCTTTGTGATTTATTTCATATTATATTTGTGTTTATCTAAATAACAGAGCAATCTAATACCCTTTATGATAATTTTAATTACAAACAGAGCTTAAGAAAGTTATTTTATCCAATAACATACTTTTAGCTTGAGTTAATGTAATTTTTAAGCTGAAAATTTTATATAATAATAAATAATTTTAAATTTTATTTTTAAAACTTTTCTTTTTAACTTTAAATTAAAAATAACTCCTAACTTTAACTTTACACCATACAAGTTTTTAGAAAAACAATAGTTAAAACAATTATCTTAATATCTGGAAAAAAAAAGTGATCCCGGCCCTCACCTATTCATACCTTGTGGATTTGAGTTAAATTTATTTATTTATTTTTTTGTACAAGATTTGAGTGTATTTTAAAACCGGATTCAACATACAAATCCAATCTAATTCACATTTTATGAATTAAAACACATACCTTGTGAAGAGTATTAGGCCCACTCTAATTGAAACCCGTTGACCTATTCCGATCCAAAACGCAAGATAACTATAAGTGGATGGGCTTTAAAAAAAAATTATGATCTATTTTATTAGAATAATTTTTTTAAAAGTTAAATCTATTTTTTTTTTTGATACACAAAAGTTAAATCTATTTAACATTTTGATGGAATATATAAAATAAAAAAAAAAAAAACTTACTTGAAATTTTTTTAGGAAGTTAAAATTAACAAGCATTTTTTATATATAAATATACTAAAAAAGATATATGATTATATATAGTGATGATGGTGGAGGAAGTGATTGGAGAAGGGATAGGAAAAAAAAAATTAAAAAATATTAGACTTTTAATTTCTAATTTTTTTTTTTCAGAAAACAGAGTTACTTAAAATAAATATTATTTTAATTTTAAAATTTTTTATTTTTAAATTATTATCCAGATGCATAAAAAAATAGCTTTTTTTAGGGGGAAAAACCTTTCAAACACCCATTTACTTTTAGACTTAGTTTGAATAAATTTTTTTGAAGAAGCTATTTTATTTAAAAAAATACTGTTTATTTTAGGGAAAAATATTTTTACAGTTAATGCAGATAAATTATCTGCATTTATTCCCAAAACGACGTCGTTTTTGTATTGAAATCTTAAAAAATTATAAATTTAAAGATTATTATAATCCTGAAATAAATTAAAATTACAAAAATACCATGATTTTCGTCCCAAAATGACGTTTATTAGGCTTAATGCAGATAACTTATCTGCAGTAACTGTAGAAAAAATGAACCATTTATTTTATGTGTATTTAGATATATTTTTGTATTTTGTTGTCGCCCGCGATTGCCTTTCAATACTACTATGCATTTGTACCGAGAATATAGTGGTCCCAACTCCGTAGCACCGATATCGACATAGGACACGAGACACGATACGACACAACGCTCTGACACGTTAATTCTAAAAAATGTTAAATTTCGACACGTTAGAATACGTTTTTATATTAAACATTATTTTTAATTTATGTAATGTATATTATATTTAATACTCAATAATTTAACAAAAAAATAAAGTTAAACTTATATTATCCATCAATTTTGCAAAGAAACATAAGATATCCTAAATATTTATATTAAACTCAATAAAATGGCAATCGTAATCCAACGAATCTAATAATTGAAACTAAAAACGCAACGCAATACAACCTTTGAACTTTTTTTTGAGTTTCTACTACGCATGTTGGAGTGTCGGAAAGTGTCAAACACGTCATGTCAAGATTTTTGAAGTGTCGGTGCTTTATAGCTCCCAAGACCCTCCCAATATATATATATATATATATATATATATATATATATATATATATATGGGTTATGATCATTTTACACCAGTGTAAGTTACACTCTCAATCTTGTCCGTTAATCTTATTTATATCTAAGGGCTCTAATTTTTTAGTAATGTGAGCCATTGGATACAAGTGGATCAATGATCAAAATTGAGCGTAAGACTTATAACTCTTATACCGGTGTAAGAATATCTTGCCCCTATATATATATATATATATATATATGGGGCAAGATCATCTTACACCGGTGTAAGAATAATAAGTCTTACATCAAATCTTAACTATTAATTTTCTGCATCTAACGGTTAAGATTTATTAGGTCTCACTCATTAATTAATTTTTAATTCTCAATAAATCTCAACCGTTAGATGCACGAAAATCAATGGTTAAGATTTAGTGTAAAATTTAATATTCTTACACCGGTGTGAGTTGATCCTATCCCTATATATATATGTGTGTGTGTGTGTGGAAAATTGTTTGTAAAGTGACCACTTAAGGATTGGTGCGATTTACTATGTACACCTGAAAGTATATAATTATAATAAATATTATAACTATATATTTCCGAAAGTACACCAGAGTACACCGTTCTTCTCTAGTGTACTTCCAGGAGTGCATATGATGATGCTAATAAATATTGAAACGTATCGGTATCGGACACATATTCAACAGTATTTTTCACCCAAAATACATGTGGGTGCTTCCTTGTATATAGTAATTATCTAAAGTTCGGAATTCCAAATGACTATAATACTTTTTGATTTGGCGGATGTCAATTAGTAAAAAGGATTAACGTTTCTTTTGTACTGCAAGAGATAAATTTTTCTATAATAACATCAAAATAAAATCATTTTGATATTTTAAAAAAATGCAAGGTATTTGAAATTTTTCTTCTTTTTCTTGTACCATGAATTTTATTAAAATATTTTGTATCTTTTTTTTAATTCTAAAACGATATTGTTTCAAAATTACAAGAAATAATTTTATCTCATATTGTATGAGAAGTAATTTTCCCTTACTAAAAAATATTAGACATTATACTAGAAATTACTAGTGCAAAGTACCACCAAGCACATGGATGCGGGGGGTTATTTTAGTTAAATTAATATTCTCGAATTCAAATTTTGGATATATAATTATATTAAAAATTTGACG